CAAGCTTGAACATGCTGCATTATGCGCGCAGACGGACTATACAAGCAGTCAGTGAAGTAACATAGGTTTGCAACGCTTCGATAGCATACCTGGCAGAACGCATGTTCAGTGTCAGCTCGTAACCGCGGTCCCACTCAGTGGCATCAGAATAAAGTATTATTGTATATTGCCAACTGCAGCCTATTATTGTAGTCTTTGTTAGCCTATTTTACACTATAACTAATGTAGGTAAGGAGGCAATAAGGATAAGGATTGTATTACATAACGACTGATCATGCTAATTTTCTATCCATTCACTTAGATTTAGGGCTGGAGGTGAAGATAGTTATTTATTTTATAATTCATAAATATGATTGATAGCCTAGATTATTGACATGACAATGCACAATTTGAAATATCTACATAAACAACCATTTCAATCTATCCTGTAGAATTCATAAACATACAGCCTGCACATTTTTAAGAAAAAAATGTTTTTTTTTAGCTAAGGAGAAATTTATCATATTATCCTTTGAGGGTGAGGGGTGGGGAGATGGGGTTGACACTCTCTCTGTAACGAGAGCAGTATACCCAACACTGCCGTGGTTCCTATAATAACGGTCATGGCTTGGTTAGGTTTAGGCACAGAAACTACTTGGTTAGGGTTAGGAAAAGATCATGATTTGGGTTAAAATAAGTACTTCCTCAACATCAGATGATCTTTGTTGTTATGGTTACAATAAAAACAATAAACGGTCATGGATAATAGGAATAATATAAACTACTGGTTTCACATGGGAATCAATCACTGATCTCCTGTGTCATATTTCTATGTTTGGTTGAGCCATCCATCCATCCATCCACCCAATCCTCCCCCTAAAACTTTGTTGCTCTTTATACTACGTCACCACACTTTTCCCTTTGCTCCTGTTATAATTACTAAGACCACTAGATGTCGCCTAACCAAAAAATTCACTTGTATGAAACCATGCGTGCCCAGGATTCCACGCACATTTCCGCACGGGGGGGGGGTAATCTCAGTCAGTCTTTTTATGACCTAATAACTTTAGTCAGCCCCTGCCTTAAGTCAGCCTCGCCTCCCACAGTTGCCCTCAATCTAGTTTATGTAATGTGAGAGTCCTGACATATACATACATATACTGTATAATGGTCTTTATGCTGTTTATGCTACTTAACATGAGAGCAGGGATGCTTAGAGGAGTTGGGAGAGAAAGGCTTTGTGAGGATGCACTCATACAGGGAAATAGTTATTTTCGGTTCCAACTATTCAACAAAATAGAACCTTTAAAAACCTCTGACCAGCCAAGGATAGTAGATATGGTGACTTCATGTGACGCAAAACAAAACAAAACCTTATTGCCTGTCTTTAATTGTCATCTTTGTTTGGATGTAATTTATTATGTGATCTTTATCTTGGTGCTTGGTGAGTATTGTTGAAACATGCAGTTATACACTGAATTAGTTGTTTTTTTTTCTATCTGGCTTTACGGTTACTAGTTATTAGTTGGTTTTAACAGTATGTGTTGCTGTGTCAAAACTCAGGCGCAAAAATCAGGTAAAGTGTAAGTACTGGTTCATTTAAATGACCAATAAAATAGTAGAAACTAGAAAGGTTTGGGCCCTTCAAATCTGAAATCTAGTTGTAAAAGTTGGAATCTTGGTTTAACTATCTAGTAGTTTTAGTTCGTCAACAACTGTAAACTCATGATTGATATGCTGACATTTTGTTTCTCAGCTCCTCCCCTCGTCCCAACAGCTGGGACGAGTGAAAAGGTTGTCTTCACAGTCACGCTGTGTATCGATGAAAAAAATCTTCTGAAGACTGCCAAGTGAAAAACAAAACTCATAGAAGTCGGTCACTTATCCACACAATGCTTTATCGATCATTTATTACATTTCAGCTGGACAGTGTTTACACTCAGTGTGGCCTAAAATCAGGTTTTCCCCAGTCAGCCAGGTGCTCATTTTCCGATTGGAGGAAAGACTGGTGGAGAGATGACAGGTGAAGGGACAGGTGGGATGACAAAAGGGAAAACAAAAGGCCGTGGGAATGGCACTGGAATAGGCACAGGATATGGCTGAAACCGAAATTGTATGTAGTTCTGGTTCATCTGAAAAACAAAGTGATGGAAACAGAAGCTGAAGAATTAGCGTACTTTAGATGCGATTATTTAGTCATTATTGGGTTACAGCATGCATCCAGATACTGACCTCATCACTATCATCTGAGCGTTTGACTCGTTTCTTCTCCTCAGAGATCTTTAAACACAAATTATTTCACATCAAATTACCTCCATTAAGCACTGAAAAAAATACCACAACACCACTACAGCAATTAGACTAGACTCACAGTCCGATCTGAAGATTGTTATTGTTGGTTTGAAATACTTACAGGGACGGAGGAGCACAACACCACGAAGCACAACATCAAAACCAGCAGTTTCATAGCTGAGAGAAGCTTCAGTCCTTTGTAGAGCAAAAGAAGGAGTCAAGATCAGCTGATGATTGCACAGCGTGCCTTATTTCAAAGAGTGAACATACCCCTCGGAAAAGAAGTCTTACCTTGAATAAAGAATGTTAAGATTAAATGATTATTAACCATGTGTTGTGTCTAATGCAGAACTTTGTAGTGGTTCTCGATCTGTCCAGGTGCACTTTTTAAAGATACCTTTACCCCTCAGTCACCCAATCAGCTGTCAAAGTGGGCTGCGTTTTTATTTCTCTATTATTGGTGTGAAATGTGATGAAACCATGCATGTGGTGGCTCACGCCGACCACAGAGCCAGACAGACGCAGACTCAGAGGTATTAAGTGTTGAAACTGGATGTGATTCATGTGTTCTGTTTTATGCTGCTTTGTTATAATGCACTCAGAGATCCATCTAATCATTGCTTTGATACATTTTTTTTGTCAAAACCTAACATTAAGTATCTCTTTTCAGCATTTATAATTAGTATACATAAAAAATTAACAAATGATCTATATCTATATCTAATGTATTTATTAACTCCTATTGTGGGAGCCCATAAGTTGAGGCTCAGGCATAAACAGATAGTGAACGACAATATAGTAAAACACATTTGTACTAATATAAAATATGACTGTTTACAACCACGTTATACTGTGCTATAAAGCAATTAATTATTTGTATCAAAAATTGGGTTTTAAGACAAAAAACATATTCAGTCCACATTTTTTCCATTTATCATTTTATTCAGCAAATAATACAGAGAGTAAAGTGATTTTAATCCACATGTTTACTTGAACTGGAATGATGAGTGTGGAAACACTCTGGTTAACACAACATCACTAAAAACAACTGACACAAAATAGCATAGATGTCAACATTTCTTTCACTTATTGATCTCTGGTTAAATTGCTGATTTTATTATGCTGTGGTAGCAGGTGCAGCTGTAGTAGAGGCTGTTGTAGTTGTTGTAGGTGCAGCTGTAGTAGTTGCTGCTGGTGGAGCAGTAACTGGTTGTCGTTGCTGGATGAGGGTAAGAAGGAGCTGGAGCCATTGTTGTGAAGACATGGATACGGAATGCTTCAAGAAAATCAGAAACATTCATCGTCAGTTATACAGCAGAGGATTTTACAGTAACAGGCAGTCAGGTGTGTTGAATGTTTAATTCTGGAGGAGACACTCACCTCACTGGAGCTAGAGCCAGACTCTGAGTCAGAGTTTGAGCGAGCAAGTCGTTGGTGTACCATGTCCACCTGTAAAACATCCAAAAGTTTAATATTGACTCTATTATCTATTATACTATTACAATAATAGATATACTGTGAAAATATGAAAATATTTGATATTGAATATAGGAATGTTTCACGTACAGGATTGGCCAGAATGAGGCTCAGGAGGCATCCAAGCACAAGTGCTACCTTCAGCATGGTTTCAGTGATCACACCTGTTGAAAACGATGAATACATTAAGAATTAAAAGATTTTTAAAAATTTTGTCCAAATAATCAGTAAAACACCATTCCACCAAGATCGCACAGAGAATTCACAATATTATAAATATTTGTAATGAAATAAATGAATAGTAATATAATTACCAAGTCTTCTCAACTTTAGCAGACTGTCTCGCAGATGGTCGAGGAAGTTGTTGTAGTGTTCTGAATGCTGAGTTTTCCTTATATACACGTCCAGGAGTGGATGTCGTGTCATTTACATTAACAGCACATTCTTGGGAAACTGCAATTATTAGGAAAGCTAATCCACCTCCACATTTCAAGGTGTGACTACTGATCAGAGCCTGAAACTATACCTCGCCCATATTAACTCAATAACTCATATCAGAAATAATACACTTTACTGGATTAGTTTAGTTTTAGTGTAGTCAGAAAACATATTACTACAGTTGTAAAGGTTTAGTCTCTGTATTCTCCACCCTTCAGTATTGGCAAATTGGTGAACAGATGTCAAACATAAATAATGCCTGGGTCTTATGATTACAAATCAAGTGACTTAGTGGCTTAGGCTGGTAACAGGTAACACCCAGTGAAGCATGCATTCCTGTCTGCTTCCTCTTTTTAGGAAATCGGAGGCTACTCTGGTTTAAGTCACTCACATAAGTAAATACAATAAATTTAAATAATGATGAAACGAAATGTTCAGTGTTCAGTTTTTATATCATTATTAATCACTGCTACCAGTCACAATGTTGTCTCCATGTACTGTTACTAAGAAAAAGGGACCAAATTCAATTATGAAGACATCAGAAAACAATGCGTGAAGTCATTCCTGTTTTGCAAATAACTAAACATGAGTCAGATGTTTTGTTTTGAGAAACATGTGGTGTGTCTCAATATCTGATGTCTGATATAAGTGTCAATGCCTGATAGGCCACACATGTACTTGGACAGCGCAGGTGAGCGGGTACATAGAGTAGATGCTGTATACTAAATGACTAGTGACATGTAGGGAATAATTTAACTCATTATAAGGTTTCCATTTAAACTTTCAATATATATATTTGTTTTCTTTTTGCAGGTTCTTCAGAAGCAATGCAGCTTTTGTGTATCGCCGCTTTAATTCTGTCAGCAGTAGCTGCTCATGTGAGTATTACTTTTGATGATGTATATTAATTTGGCGTAACTTTTACAAAATTATAAAGGAAAACTTCTGCTTTATATTTTTTAAGTGGTCATTTTTAATTTTGTTTGAGTTTTGTTTAATTTTGTTTTTCAGCCAGATTCCTGGAGACCATGGGAGGATGAGAAGTTTCCGCCTGCAGGTGGACCCAAACAGGATGCAGACTCTAAGGTAATGGCATGATTTCACACACAGGTCCAGAGCTGCATCTACGATCTGCGTGTTAAGTATTTGTCATTTAATTATCCTTTTGTTTAGCGTGGTGACGGGGCGCAGTCAGTGACACAAGCCCCAGAGGGTGGAGATGGAAGGTCAAGTGGAGACTGGCCAGAAGGGGACTCTGGACATCCAGTATGGGTATGTGTTTCAAGTCTTACAGTAATTAGTTAATTGATTCCAGCCTCAGTCATTCATTAATTCAAGTGTCTTTTCTTTTTTGGGGTAGCCAGATGAGATGCCCCCTTGGCTCAAAAACAGACCCCCTACAAGACCAGGGAATGGAAATCCACAGGGACCCATGAAGTTGACTGATTGGACCAACGGCCAGATGGCGATACTCCCTCACCTTCCTACTTGGGGCAAAAGAGAGGTATTTACAACCAGTTCCTATTTGTTATTCAGTTTGGTTATTGCAATAGCCATGTTGTTGTAAGCAACAGTCGTGTGCAGTGACCTCCCAGACACTTTACCAGGGTTACCAGGCAGCCAACATACCAGGCAGATGGAAAAACTGCCGTTCCTCAGTCAGTAGTTGCACCATCTAACTGACTGTCAAATCACAATTTGTAAGTCGTACATATCTCTGTTGTGTTAGAATTAAACAAAAAAGATATAGGCCTAACAAATTCTTAGTGAGCCTTAGAAGTGTTGGTGGGCTGTGAGATGCGAGATAAAGTTTGCTTACTTGCCTCCTTATGCTAATGCTAACCGGTGGCTTCTGCAATGTGTGGAATGATGATGTTGTGACACTGGGATCTCTTTGGAGATTATCTGTGTTTTCTCAACAAGAAAACCAATCAGCATGTTTCACAAAATGTCAATATGTTGTTTTAACATTTCAAATACACAGTAAAGGTTAGCAAAGACCTGCAGCAACTCACCATACTGTGTATCACCTGAGAATTCATTGGACAGTCATTTAGTGTACACAGCACTTTATGTGTGCTTCAACCAGGCTCCTGGTTTCGGGCTTGAGCCAGGCAGGCATTTTGGAAGACCCAGAGGACCTCCGAGAGGCAAGTTGCCCAACATGAGGAACCCTGGTGCAACGGTAAGCCCACAGTGACGCGACAGCTGTGCTGAAATGAAAAAAGTGAGACAAAAGTTAGTCTTATTACTAGTTATATCCTGAACCCTCTAAAGAGTGCAGAAAATCTCTGTTTGGTGGCATCTCTTTAAGAGGGGACCCACTGAACCCTGACAACACGTTAAAAGCAGCTTTAGGCTCACATCTTTAAACTGGTTTTTATACCTTTTAATTTCAATTTCACTTCTTACTCTTGTGTCGTGTTGCTATTTTCTGCCTGTTGCTTTCGTCTTTTACTGTATTGTGAAGCACTGATTGCTTCTGCCTTACAAGCCTTACTTATCGTTATAATTGGTTCTGTGTAACAATAAAATATGATGTACAAATACATCTTTCTTGTTTTAGGACGATACGGTTTTTTCCCCTACATTCAAGGTAGGCCCACTGTCGTCCCTCAATGTGATTTCATGATTTTCATACATTCATACTTTTAACTGAACAGTTGTCCAAAACGCAGATTTTCTTATACTTCCTTTTCAGGTTGACAACGTGGCATTTCAGGTGAGACATTATAACAGTAGTTATTATACAGTAAACTGTATGTTTGACATGACAGATCAGTGGCACTACTGAATTTTTTTTCAACACATTTGTGGCTTTCATCCCTAGAACATCACCGGCGTATCCTTAAAGGAGGTAAACAATATGATTTAGTTACTTGGTCTAACTTTTTGAGTAACTGTCCAATTTGATTTTGTAAAGTACATCAGAGTTTACTGTTCAACTGAACGCTCACTGTGAACGTTTCACAGGGGGAGAACCTATTTCTGATGCCAAAGGTAGGTGACTGAAGAAGCAATTTGAATACACACTTACACCTTGAACACAATTATTGCCATGAAAATAATTGTCATCAGTACTAATGACTGACAGTTCATCCACAGCAGGGAAGAGGACCTCACCATCACAGGGTATAAGAAGTCATTTCATCATTGTAGCAGTGGTTACAGTATCAAAACTCAGACACTCAGCGAGTTAAATTTTTACTGTTATTTGCTTTGCAGGGAGGAAGACACGGACCTCCAGAGAATGTGGTATAATGGCTGTCAAATATGCATAAAATAACTTTATTATCATCCTTATTATTATCTGGCTGGATTGATTGGGCTTCAATTTAACATTGTTTGATCTTTAGGACAACTACATTATGATATTTGTATCTCTTCATCTCAATTTCAGCAATATGTGAAGCTCATCTACAACACCACAGAGCCGGTAATCTTTTTGCCCATTACAAAATGAATGTGTATAAACAAATGTTTTATTATTATTATTATTATTATTATTGTTATTATCTTCAATTATCATAATTTCTCTTTCTTTTTGAAGAACAAAGTCTCCGTGGAGTATGGGGTTTTGAAACCTGTAAGTACAGACAGTTTGTTCACATATGGCACCATGTATCAGTCCTATGTGTTGTTAGTATAGTAAAATATTTTGTTAGCACATTCACAGATATTTCTGTAACATGGCGTTAGGTTTGTGTGGTTCATTTGAATTTTTGTTATTTTCAAGATGAGTCTCGGTGAGCTTGTTGGAGAAGAAGATGATCCAGAGGAAGCCGGCTGGTAAAAGGTGAAGGCATTAAAAAAAGTACTAATTAAGTCTAATTACCTGAATATCAATTTGATGACTAATTCTTACTTTTTTTGTCTCCCACTTTACTCAGGAGGAACCAACGGCTCCAAGTTTGATTCTCCGACTTGATCGAGTCTTAGAGGAGATGATGTAGTATACTCTGGGAAATCTTTTATGTAATTCCGTCTTCCTCCTGTTAAAACTAAAATCTCTGTGTACTACAATAAAAGTCTGAAACAATTACCTTTGACAAAGATCTTTATTTGACAAGAGAGGAGCATATTCCTGAAACAAGCAAAACAATTTCAGTTCATTATACAAATAACTGAGTACAAATAAACTCCATTTAGAAGACCAACATACTCCGGCGTATGTTGCAGAAGAATGAGCTCGCAGTGACTACAGCCAAACACACGGAAATGAATTTTTGCCTGATCACGTTGTTGTTATTTCCCAGGTGACATCTAAGGCTCAAACAGGAAGGGGAAGTTGGAGTGACCCTGGAGAAACATCCAGAAAAGCAGTTGTTTAATTATTCAAAGTCAAATGCTTCGCAGTTGATGAGAGCGATGTGTAACAGTAACCAAGGTTTTTCCTGTGCGCATAAAAAAGTATGAATGCATAAAAACTTTAAATGTTGAGTGTCATTGTATGAAATAGCACCTCGTCAATCCCAGGGCCTGAAGTGTCACCACGAGGATCAGGAGGAATTGTAGTAGACTCCTTCTGTGTCCCCAGTGGCCATGTCTGAGGAAGAAAGTTATGAAAACAGAGCACTTAGACTTAAACTGGCGCTGACTTGTCTCTTTCCTCAGTGTAATTGTGAAATTATAAAAATGAAGAGGTTATGTAGTGTGCTCACTTGTTCTGTCTGCACCTTGGGCTGGGAAGCCTGCTGAAATGGGATGACATGCATGAAAATTACATTACAAAAAAAATGAGTACTAAGTATATGGACGTGTACACCTTCCTGAACAAATAAAATGATATCAGTCATAGCGAGAAATGAAACATACATGTATAAGCTACATGTGGACAGACTGGGATGGCATGATTTCAGCAGCCCGACGCTAAGCCAGACCGCCAGCTTGCGGTCTGCATGGCAGACAGCTGTCATTGCATCACAGTCACCACATCCACACAGTCGTGACTCAAGCTCTGCAGCTTTGTTGTTATCAGTAAGTCTTGTCTTTGACATCATCATCTGCATAAGTTCTAAGACTGAATTCAAAGTGCCAAAGTAAATCAGGTGCTAGACAGAATATTTTTTGATGATTTAATTCATTTTACTTTTTTCTCTTCTTCTTCACTGAACACTCTCTGCAGGCAAGCAAATTTTCATTCAACAAGTGTCTTTAAGAATCCCTTCTGAAATGTTCAGAGCAGAGTAATGTCTTCAGTTGTTTTTGATTAATTTGAACAGAGAGGCCAAGATCTTCCTCTTTTCTTGACTTCATGCTATTTTGCATGTCTGACCTGCAGAGGGAGCTGTGGTCTCTGTGTGGTTCTCTCCAGGTTCTGCTGGCCCTTGTTGGGCTGCAGCACCACAGTGTTCCTCTGCTGGGGATAGCCGTAAGAGGGCACAAAGTACGGGAAGCCCTGTGGATGATCAATTAATCAAATCAATTTCAATCTGAAGCGAGCATCTAAATGAAGATACTGACATTTGCAAACAAGTCAGTATGTTTGACTTCATACCTGATGTCTAGGAAACTGAGGAAATCCATAAGCAGGGTACTGAAACTGTGGAAACATCTAAAGGAGATATAAAATAACAATTAATTTTTGACTGTGAGGAGTAGCAACTGTAGCAACCATGAAAGACACTTTGTTGTACCTGCATTGGGTTTTGTGCCTGCTGAGGGACATTAGGAGCGTTGGGGTCCTGTGGAGGCCCGAGCTGCTCTTGCTGGCCGTTGGGGACAAGCATGGGTGTTACCTGGTTGCCTTGGGTGGGAAGCAACAGCTGAGGCCCCTGGGGACCAAAAGGACCCGCCATCTGGGGGTTCAAGTTCACCACCTGTGGAGTGAACAGCACCTCAGGCTGCTGCTGCTGAAGCACATACTGGGGTAATATTAAAGACGCCTGGAGGCGAAGGAGATTTGTTTCAGCTTACATATTATTTTTCCAAAGCAAAAATGTGCATTTTATTTTTATTTGTATAAGGAGGACAGTCAAGAGTAGTGGTAGCATCAGAGTAGCACATGTACTTATGGGCCCTGTCTTTACCTGTGTTTGTCCGAGAGCTGCAAGAGTTAGTCCATTCAGTCTCAGGATCTGAACACACACAGAGGGTTGAATTAGATCGGCTAATGTTGTTCTCAAATGAGAGAAAATTTTACCCGGCATCCAACAGACATAAATTCTTTAACAACTATTTTACCTCATTGCTATTGCTTGCAATAATTCCAATCTGCACCTGTAAAAGAAACATGAACATTTTATGTCATTTTAGACGCTGCAGTGTGAGCAATATATAATACAGCAACATAAAGATGTAACTCACTGGCAGAGCAAAGCTTGTCCTCAATAGACAGACCAACAGAAGTGCACTTTGTAGCTCCATGATGTCCTACAGTGTGCAAAAACATGAGGCATGTTTTTAAAACCTACATGAATACTCTGTCAAGCCTTATAAAAAATTTTTAAAAAAACTACCATACATTTTAGCAAGACACGGAAAAGTTTTAAAGTGAGTGCTACCAGCTCGCCTTACCGTTTCTCTGGTTCTGCTTTCCCTTTCTGTGCTCTTGCCTCCTCACCTTGTCCATATCCCTTTTAAATTCTCTCCATATGAGCTGTTTTAGTCCACCGCCAACCTGTCCAGACAATGTGTGGTCAGTGTGGTAGACATTTCTCATGGCATCAGACTCAGACACTCATAACACGGGACAGGTAAGTATGTTATTAGGTGTAAGTCATGTCTCTAAACGCCATGACATGGTCTGTGTCAAGTTGTTACTCAAACAAGTCTCTGAAACGGTTTGCACTTTTCACATGCAGCGTTTAGAAAAGCACCAGCTCTTCAGTAACGGTTTGAGCCTTCACTGAGTTTATGTGCACATGTTAAAGTGTGGTGCTTCAGTGCGTGATTACAGATGAGCAGTGATCACACATTTGTACACAGAGTTGTTCATCATGTTCAGACTGATGTTGCCGTCTCGCTGGAAAATCATGGGTATTAATGTTTGACTGTGTTGGGATTTATGTTGAGGATACACAGGGAAAAAAATGGAAAAGCATGTTTTTGTGAGTCTGTCTGTCTAGAGAATTTGGATTCCTTGCGCTTCGGTTAAAAAGCCACAGACTATGTCAGAAAGCACAACATTTGAACACAAAGTCTTACGTTCTGTTGCAATCTATTTTTGATGCACTTTAGATGATTTTATGTTTTTTGTGCTCAGTTGTAAACTGTTTTTATGGTTGAAATGACAATTTAACTCAAACTTGCACTTGCTTTCAGGTCTGAAATGTGACCGATAGGCCTTTTTCACAGCAGATGGGAAAAGTGGAGGTGTTAATCATCACATTTACATTTTCTCTGTTCTATTGACGTGTCCCAGTGAGCCACGACAGGGTGACAGTGAGCCAGCATGCACAGCACCAGGACCCTGAAACTGAAGCAGCTGTATGGAATTCAGCCTTTATTAACTTTGTGAATCACATCTGTGCTATTCCTAATCTGTCATGAAAAATTTCTTCCTTGAAAAGCACATGTGTCTGACAGATATTTCAGATTTTTCTTTTTACTTTAAGTCCACAATTTTATTATTATTATTGAGTTAACCTCAACTGCAGAAAGTGAAACCCAGAAAAGCCTTTTCTTTATTTAAGCCCCGTTTCAGGTTTTATGCAGCACAATTATCCAGCCAACCTCTGTGAGACATTTGAGTTGTGGATTCATGTTATTTTACTGTACATTTGTTTTTATACTCATTATCCTTTAGATGGCAGCAGAGACGTATAAATTGCTCTCAAACTATAGTTTATTGATAAAGTTTGTGTAATATGCTGGTGCAAAATCAGAGGCATCTATGAAACAGCTTTCATTTTAAGCAGACTTTATTTTTATAAGGTAAACATGTACAATCAACCATCATGTTATTTTGTTGTTGTTTTTTTACTGAGATTCTACCACTGATTTCAAAATAAAACATAATACACACAGCTTCCATGGTGATTGGTGATTTGTGACAAAATCATACAAGACAGATTTTATTGTCATTTTGTGTATTTCAATGTTGTCTTAATTATTCTGATGACGATCTTCATCACATGCAGTTGTTGTCACTGTGTCGGTAGGAGCTGGAATCTGAGAAAATAAAGAGCGGACAGTTGGTGAAACCTTGAAGAGAATTTGTCTTTCACAATAAGACGTCATAGCAGGCACAACTCGATGATCCCATTCACTTTAATCTGCTTCTTTGCCTTTAAATTACACAATTGTACCTGAGTATCCACAGTGGTCTTCATGCTGTTGTCCTGCTTCATAATCTGACGCTGGAAATTCAAAGAACAACAATTAGCCAGTGCAGTTTTTCATTCATATCACATACACCAGATGTAAATCTTGTTTCTCACCCTGAATCTTCTGAGTGGATCGGGCTGAAGGGGAAGCTGCTGTGGCACGGCACCACCTGCAAGCCCCTAAAGAAAGACAGCAAGGCAGCAGGATTTAGTGATTCTAGTGATTTGTTCAACTTCTACATACCATCATTTAAACTGTAATATAAAGATGGTTGGTTACCATCAGAGGCGACTGAGGAGGATTCATTGGTGCCATTTGAGGGAGTCCCATGAAAGGAAGCTGATTGTAGGTGAGATAGACATAAATGTTTTTTGTCTGGTACTCTAAAACATGAAGCAAAATCACACGAGTACTGCTGTGTGCTGTGCGTCACTCACCGCATTGACTGCAGGGACAGGGTACACATTGGGGACGGGGCCTGGTACAGCAAAAGCAGGAACTCCAGGGACAAACTTTGAGAGGGAGAGTAGAAATGTGAATCTTCATATCAGGTTTATATCAGATCAGAATATTTTGCAAATAATTTTTATAGATAGTAAAGAATAAATCCTGTCTGGCAAAATCTGACTCACAGAAACAGCCATCTGAATTCAAACAGTTTAGTGAATGGGATGCCAAGTTATGAAATATTTTCTATCAGGGACTAACAAGTCAGTCAACAGGAGAGCACCATCTTGTGGTTGGATTTACAGTGATGGAAACATTTACATCTTCTCTCATAATGCCATGGTTTTATTTTAACTTTGAATTTATTATTATAACCCTGGTTACTGTAATTACTATAAGCATGGTGACATATTGTGGAGCTAACATGAAATCTAAACCCATCCTCATCTATTTTAAACATACGGCTGTCACAGTAACATGCCGTGTAAGTAATTTTCTTTGACTGTAACATTGAACTGAGGTCATCAAAATGACGACCTGGTGGACTGACCTGTGCAAACTGCGGCTGCCCAATGAAGCCTGCCCCACCACCAGCTACCATGGGTGGGTTCAGGCCTCCAGCCATCATCCCCGGGTTAACTCCGTTCATACCAGGCATCATTCCTGCGTTCATGGCTGCCATCATCCTCTGTCTCTGCATGGAGGGAGAAAGAGTGTTTGTTATTAACCATGATCTAATTTGTATTATTGTGCTACTCACGTAGGAATTAGTAGTCTAAGTGTTCCTTACCTTGCCTGCGCTGACCTGCAGTAAGCAAAAAGACAAGATGTTAAATGCACTGCTTTGTATCATAGATAGATAGATAGATAGATAGATAGATAGATAGATAGATAGATAGATAGATAGATAGATACTCACATAGCAGATGGTGACTACAAATGTTGTGAGGAGAAGCTTCATTTTTCAGCCTAAAACCTAAAATCAGAATAGATACATTTTACTTATAAAATCAATATATATCGTATGTTAGTAAGAACATTTCTATTTCTGCATTTTTATTATTTAAAAAAATCTCAATCACACCATACCTTATATTTTTTGTTCTTCCTTCAAACGTTATATGTGCCAAGGAGGACTATACTACTGCTCTCTGATTGTTGAAGACCTTTTATCAGTCCCAGAGATTATTATGAGCCAATTAGAGAGGAGATCACTGACTTGTTGACAAACTGTATTTGTCACCCGTGTGTCATGGCAACTTGTGATACGACATCTTCTTTTTGCTTCAATACGAAATATGCAAAGAAATGTAACGCTGTGAGCTGTCTATTTTCAAAAGACTCCTCAAACCCCCGCTCAGCCGCCTCACATTGTCCTCCATGCAGCTAAGTGACCACGAACAATAACAGAGTGATTCAGTGTCTTGAGGTGGGTTTGTGGAGGTTTGTGGAGGTTTGTGGAGGTTTCTGGAGGTTCCTGGAGGTTTCTGGAAACCACTGAATTGAAAAAACCAGTAAGAGCCATCTAAATGTTGCGGGTTGGGGTCACAAGAAGCAAACAACTGACATCATCATCATCATCAAGAGCTTTTGTTCACGTGTGCACACTTAAATTCGATGAAACATTTTACCCGGCAAGCGGCACACTGTTTGTGACTTCAGGAAGACAGCAATGTGAGAATGTCAATTTGTGATTTGATTTATGTGTGGACTTGTAAATGCCGTGTTTCCTGCTGCTGTAATTGAAGGGAAATTTAAGTTAAAGGTTGAAGCCCAGCTGTAATTTATGAGTTTTGTTTGTCTCAAGCTGAATTTTCACTTGCCCCAGCCCTAAAATAACAACTTATATCATACAACCAACTCAACCCCCGATTAGCACGACACCAGACGTCTTTTAATTTGTAAAATCCTCTGCTGTTACTGATGGGCAGCAACAGTCACTGTATCTGTCATATTTCATCAGCACATTTTCTTATGTTGTTTGGAGCCATTACATTCATTCCCGCTGTGGTTGTCTGGGTATGTTGTCACTTACTGAGGCTGTCTGGGAAAAGGTTTTCCTGCTGCTGACTGGGCAGACCAGGTAAACATCCTCTGAAGTCTGGTCTAGAGCTTTATACTAATTACACACTGTCATGCAGTTCCAATTAAGACAAATTTTCTTCCTGTTTTTCAGTTTAATGCCAAGACTAATGGCATTTCCTAATAACATTATGTAAATTTGAGATTGAGATTTAAGATTATATAGAGGAGTTTGGTTTTTTTTTTCTTTATGTCACAAGCTTTATATAAAAAGAAGTTCTGCCATGGTGTAAGTGGTAGGATGTTTTTTCATATTCAGACACCAGAATCCCCATGTTGTAACCAACGTACTGTAAATATAAATTTATACATATTTGTACCAGTCTGTGACACAAAAACAACAACTGCCATCAGAGGAGCCACACCCATGACACTGGGTGTTTTGCACAAGCACACTTTGACGGACATATTATGAGCTCTAGATGATGTAAAATCAAATGTGTATTGTGATAATATATTGGAATAAAAATTCAACAGCATCAACAAGTGACTTCAATCATTTATTGGCCATTAGTTATTATGACAGTGATTTATAAAATTAACATAGAACATAGAAGTGAGACAGGATGAGGACATAAGGACGAATCATCATGAGATGTATGCGATGACTGACAGCTGTGTGGTCTCATTTCGCTTGCTTCTCCTCCATCTCCATCCCAGAGCAGTCTTCCTCCTCCTCATCTGCCATCACCTTCATCACCGGAGACTGTGTCCTCCTGAGGCGAGCTGCCGCTGAACGCAGAAACCTCCCTCTGCCGGCTGCAGTCCGACCAGCAGCAGCGCCGGGCTGTTGCTGGTGGTTCAGCCCAGCCCTGGAGACCAGCTGCACTTGGCCTGGAGTCAGCACGGCTCCCTGCGGGTCTCCTCCGGCATTCCTCTGGGAGAGCACAGCAAACAGCGTGACCGGCCCACCTCTGACAGCCTGAGCCACCTGCCCCTGTGGATTCACATCGGCTCCGCCTGTCTGCCCCACAAGAAGTGCCCCACTGGGTTGGAGAGCTCCAATGGGAATAAGCTGCTGTAGGGGTGCCTGACCTATTTGGTTCCCGACCGGCTGGATAAAAAATGACCCACCAAGTTGGACTAAATGTGCTACAAGCGGTTCACCATTCAGCGGGACTCCATTTTGAGCCCCAGAATTGACATTGTTGCCAGCTGCTGCGCCCCCATTATTATTGACTCTCCCGTTAGCAAGTGCCTCAGCACTCCCTGAAGACACACCACCCTCCACCACAACAGCCAAGGTCTGAAAGATGACCCACAGTATACAGAACATGTTTTATCTCAGTGACAGCAGATAGTCGCCAGGTGAAGTACTGCTTCTCCCTTCACTTATATAGAGAGCATCAGAATCCGTGATCACCGAGAAAGGTCCAATCAGAGCCCTGCGCTTCATCTCAAAACAACAAGTCACTATAATCATCATGACCATGCTGCAGGCTATTTTTTGCTTTGTTTCCCTGCAGTGCCATTATTCGGGATTATGTGGCAAACCCAAACCAGGTATCAGTGACTTGCATTCTCATAACCATTGTTGCAGAGGTCGTATTTTCATGTCATGGTGGCATCAGGAACACTGACCCTACAGATACAACATGATATTAGAGCATAAAACTGATGCGTCCCAGGTGCCTTTTGGGGTCGACTGGGATTCACCAATATGAAGCCATAACTTTATTTCAGGACTGTAAAGAAACACAAGCCATCATTAACAACAGGGTGATATTGTGAAGACCATTGCCGTCCATAAAGCTTTAATTAGAGCTGCAATGAAACATAAGATGTACACACAAACATTTACATAATTTGAAACTAAATTAAGCAACACAGTTATTGAATTACATTTACTACATTTATTTTGATTCAAATAGTAATCCCGCACTAAACCACTCTAACATACAAACCACAGTTCTTCTGAGGCTTCGTACCTATACTGCACAATGCCTTTTCTACTGTTGAGCTGTTGTAAACTTTTCCCCAGGTTGGAATGCATTAGAAAACATAACTCTTTCTTATATTCTAATAAAAACAATTCTAGCAGTTTAGTCTAAATTACAGAACGAAGATCCAAATGTCCGAGCTTAGCCTGACACGAAATAACAGCACTGACCACCAACACTTGTCCTTTATATAGCAGGAGGTAAAATGAGTTTCTTACACCTGTACTTGTCAGAGTGTCTTGTAACTTTTGACATGACAAAGTAACAGGAGCCAAAGGCTTCACGGAGGCCTCCATCTCAAGCTGCAATGTTGGAGCAGCTTCCACAAGCTTGTGCAGTAGATGAGGCACAAAATGAAGCTCAGAAAAGCAGGTTGACATCCATATCCTCTGTGGAGAGAATGAATACATGGAAATTAAGGTACATTATTACTGAAAGTAGGTAGAAATGGAAAAGGGGTTTGAAACAGCATATATACTGATTTCTCCTCTTTGCTATTTGTTTAATAGAGACACTAAAAATGGTGGTTGATTAATTAACTAACTGCCTGTGAAATCATCATATTCTGAGTGTTGAATGTGAAATTTTATATGAATATATTCAGATTTGAGAGTCACAGTTTTAAAACCTCTCCTGGCTCTCCTGGTGATCATACTGCACTTCCTCACAAATATAATGACTTTGTATTCGTCACATTTCTGAAGTATCAGTATGTTTCAGTGAATGACGTGCTACTGTTCTCACCATTCCTGATACCAAAACAGGAAGTCCACTCCTTAAAGGACACCTGCTTGTCCTTGTCAGCGTCACACTCTTGGAAGAAGCGGGAGGTGCAGTGCTCCATCGGCACCAGAGGGACCCTGAGCGGGGCCAGCTCTGAGTGGGTCAGCAATCTGCAGAGAACGGACCACCATCAGGTTTTCATCATTGTGAGCATCTAATGTTTGCACATTATAATCAAACACTTGTGTTTTATGATATACCCAGCCAGCACTGGTGGGGGTTTGTTTAATATTTGACGTTAGCCAACCCTTAATTCTACCTCCAATAACATGGAGGAACTCCAGCTCCAGAGCCCCAGAAAAAATCCAGATTGGAAATATACTTTCTTTGCACACGTTAGAATTTAGTTTGATTGCTCACTGATATTATGTGATATATTAAATTCCATGAAATAATGTATGTGACTCAAATTCCTGTGAGCTGAAGAAAAAACAATGACCAGGAGTTCAGATGTCTCAGGAAGGAGTATTTACTGAAAGCCGTGGAGATAATGATGAGCAGTGCAATGACAACGAGTGGACCGTAGTAGTGCCACACCAAGTTCTGAAAATGTCTTGTCTGACTGTGGGTATATAATACTAGGTATCACATGGTTGCAACATTTTACCACACCTTACTCCATATAAGGTGAAACTTTATCCTAAACAATAATGTGTGAAAATGCTATTGGTCCCCAAAATCTGCATTGTCACATGTTCTTACCTACTTAATATTACATGGGCCTTGTTCTTTTCCCTACTTAGCTCATCCTGGACACTAACTTGATTTCTCAAAGTTTAGGCTATCCTCCTACCTCCTTATCTATAAGACCTTGGTTACCCTAGCAATGGAGGAGATATGAGTCTCCAGCTGTCCACTATCAGTCATAATGGCATCCAAACAGTAAGCTACTGTATAACACAGTGAGAGTCATTACGGCCTGTGCCCTGGGCACGCAGGTGAGGTTTAGAAAAACAAGATGAACACTGGAGTGAGAACCAAGAATTTTATCTCAAAGGTATGTCAACATGTCCTGTGAATATTTCTCTATTACGGTCATAATTGGTGTTAGGGTTATTGATGAATAAGTTACTAACCCAGCTATCCACTAAAATCATCAGAATAAGTTTCATTGGAGATTTTGCTGTCTCCTTAACATTTCATTTTTTTTCTTACTCAGATTAAAACATCACGCTATCAGCAACAGTGTATACTAATTATTCTATGACCATTTTTGGATGTAATATAATGTGTTATATAATTTCATTGTAATTCCATTATTTACATATTATATTTTATACCGTGCACCTTGTGATATAAAATGTGTGATTGGCCTCACTAAATATAACTGTAAACACAGATGATGAAGAGGAGGATTTACCTGTCAGAGGGGTGTTGGTCCAGTTGAGCAAACTGCCAGTGCACTGGGTAGATGTACATGTTGTAGTTCTTCTCAAAGTCTTGTGCAAGAAGCTCAACAGAGTGATCTCCAGCATGAAGACGCCGCTCACTCTCAAAGATTTTCTTCACCTACAGAACACAGCACACCACAGTTTGCTTGCCTTTCGTTACCTAAAACACTGAATGTTTCCTTTTCCCAAAGGTGCTTTGTTATTTTCTGACTGACTGATACAAATAACACAACAAACTGCAGCGAAATTAGTATATTTACTTGCAACTTGTGGAAAATGTACATTTCCTAAGATTAAGATTGAAATAGATCAATTCTAAGAAGCCGGAGAAACGGAAACAGCACTGTGTCTTACTCTAAAACGCTGTTTCGGAGTGAGGAAGCCAGGGGACATGGAGTCATGCTCATAGAGCTGCAGCAGCACATTTTTCAGCCAATCCCTCATTCGTAGAGGGAACTGGACCAGCTCAGCGTCCACGCATGGAGGTATTACTGCGAGACAGAAGAGCAGAGAGGGGGAAAGAGCACAGTCAAATTGTTTTCTCCTGCACCACACTAGAATGTTGTAGCTCAAATCACAAAGTCTGTACAGTGGTTAATGCTCACGTTTGCACGGCCCGGTATAGTCCAGATGAAGTCTGTGCCCTCTCTTGGTGCCCTCCAGGTTGCATTTAGTAGCAAAGAGTTCGCACGACGTGTCATATGTTTTGTTGTCTGTCCCACAAACCTAAATGGGACATAAATGCGACGATCAGAAGCAAAACAGTGGAGGAACGTTCCAGCTTAGCCATCTACGGGTTATGCATACGTACGTGATCAAACTCATTCACGCTGGAAGGACATTGTGACGGTTCCTGACACACACAGCCCGGCTTATTGTCTGCATCGAGTTTACATGTCTTCCCACGTTTGCAGCGGAAATCGTCGCATGGATCTGGAAGAAAAGACAAACACTGCAATAACCTTTGACCTATACTTTATCTCAATTTTAAAAGCAGGGTTATAAATGGTCTATTTTCCCGGCTGGTCTGGTTTTGTTTCTCAGTGTGAGGACTTGAAACCAACGGGCTCTAACCACTACACGCCATCCCCTACATTCCACTGCCATTTGAGTTTGTACAGTGATTAAAATCAACGTGATCTCCCTTATTCACTCCTTAAGCCTGCAGAGCTGTGTTTTGGTAGTGACCGTGAAGCAGGGTGGCACTATTCATGTGGAAGTTTCAGCAAAATGACCCAGTCAGCAGATTCCCATTTGAGACTGTTGGGATAGTGCATTTGTCTAGAATGGTGAACGGTGAGTGGTGCGGCTGCTGAATTAACCAACCAGCAGGGGCCTCTGGGTGATGTATGCTTCCACCAAGAGAGGGCCTGGAGCTGGGGTAGAGATCCACTGTGGCTCTTATCTGCACTGGATTCATTCCGACCAAAGGACCCTGGAAATGTACACAAGGAGTCAATGTTTCAACCCCTCATTTATGCCATCACATCAGCCAAAAACAGCTGCTTGCTGCACGAAGACATTGAAGAGAGCTGTGAGAATGAAAAGTTAAAGTTGCAGACAACCAGCCAAAAAAAAAAAAATCAGCTAAAGAGGCGCTATCATGCTCCGTAGACTGATAGTTCTCCGCAGGTTCATTATTACGAGTGACCTCTTTCACACGCAAGTAGTTATGTCATCCATTGTTAATATAAGTATATTGATTATAGCTGCTTTAATTAAGACACATGTGCAAATTAGGTATCATTTACCCATTTTCCGGCCCTTCTCCTCTTTGCCTTGTGCACTGTATTGTCAATACTGCTGCTCTCAGACTCCTGAGGATCCTGGTGGCTCAGTTCTTGTCCGGACTGTGTTTCCTCTCTCTGTGGAGAGTGCTTCCTTGCCCTCTGGTTCTTCTTCTGCTTCCTTGTCTTTCCCTTGGTGTGACTTCCACTGTCATTCTTACTTTTCTCTTCCTCCTTCCCAGTCACTCGGGACCCTGATTCACTGCTCTTTGGCTCCTGAGGCTCCACGTCCTGATCCATCTCTTTAGATTTAGCTTGTGAATCTTTGTCATTTCTGCCTTCTTGCAGCTTGTCCTGATCAAACAACTCCTCGCTGTCCGCTGCCTCAGTGTTTTGTATGTCTTGGTCATAGTCCTCGTCTAAGATGGGTAGTTCTTTCTCACTGACTTCTTTCTCTTTAACATCTGGAACATCTGCTTTTGAAAGGGGCTGGGCGTCATCAACGTGGTGTTTTAGCTTCGCTGACATCATCTGCAGAGGTTGTAAGATGCCACTATCAGCAGCGTAGTCAAGATCCACTGGGATATCTGACTCTGTGCTGCCTTCTGGTTCCTCTAGCAGCGCGACTTGCTTTTCTCTGTCGGCCATTTTGCTAACAGACTCTTCCCTCTTGCCCTTATGGGACATCTTCTCCACCTCCTCCTGGACTTCATCTTCCACACTCTCCTCCTTCATCTCCCCCTCTTCTTTCCCATCTTCCTCCAATTCCAAGTTGTCCTCCAGTTTCTTCTCCTCCCCCTCAGCTTCCTCATCCTCTCTGATCTCACCAGCTTCACTAGACTCCACCTTGCCTTTTTCTGCCTCCAATTCTTCTTCCTCCAGCTCTCTTTCTTCCACTTCTTCCTCCTCTGCCTCCTTCTTCAGGAGGTCTACCAGCTCCTCCTCACTCAACAGGACTGCAGTGCTTTTATCTCTCCTTTCAGCCACCTTAAACGCTCCATCCTCCTTGTTGGCATTAGCATTGCCCTCGGAGCTCAGCTCTTCATCTTCCTGCTCCTGGCTCCTGGCCTCCAAAGTGACTAAAGTGGGTGAGACCTGTGGCTTGTTGGCCTCCTCTGTGATAACGTCCTTAACCGGGAAGGAGAAAAAATGTTTATTTGAAGTATGAAATTATCTCATTCAAATAAAACTTTTCAAAAAAATTTAGAGTCACATTTTACCTTTTCTTTGGCTGTGTGTGAAGTCTTGTGCAATCCATGATGTTTTCCATGAGGTTTACTTTTAACCTGGACATAAGAGGAATCATTAGTAATGATCACCTTTTTAGTGAATACCAAAACTGCAATAAGCAAATAATTAATGATAGCATTGCTACTCACAGACAGGGCAAGTGTTGCTGCCAGTAAGCAAAGGAAAACTAAGCAGGCCCTCATACCTGAAACATTGAAATTAATAGTTTAAACACTGGACAGAAATAGAAATTGATTAAATGTAATTTACATTATTGTGAAGTACTGCAAAACTGAACATCAGAAAAATACAGACCATAAACAATCAATACATTATATCTTGATTTCTAACTGGTCACAACAAAGACATGAACTTGGCAGATCGTTCAAAGTTAAAACAGATGAGTGCATCTGTATGCACGCCAACACAAGCGGAGCTGCGGGATTGGTCTCCACTGTTGTCACGGTAACAGGCCTCTGAGATGCGCCTCTCTCTCAAAAGTCACATTCAGAGCTAAAGTAAACATCAGAAGCTACCAGACTGGAAAAAGTTGACTAAGTCCACAAACTTTTTGTCTCTCTGGACGGAAACAAAACAGACATTAGTGGGCCTGTCCAGTGGAACAATAGCCCTGTGGTTCAGCCCAGTACAGTCCAAATACCCCAGGAGGGGTGTGTGTATGAAAATCCACTGAAAGCAATAAACTGTTCAATACTAATTAATTTGATCTTTATGAGGTGAGGTTGCAAAGTACACATACAGACTTTTCATTTTGAATTCAATACCCATGTTACATGACAGTCTTTAATGTATCTCTTACACAATTTTACAGCATATGTAATTTATTTGATTTATTTGAAGATATTTTAAAACTCTATAAAATACTTTCATATAGATGATAAACAACATTTCAGTTTCGCTGTACTTCATACAGTATATTGGTACATGATAGTATAAACAGTATAATAATATGCACTGCACTATCTCTGCATATATACAAAAATAACCCAGTCATCACTGTTAATTCAGAGCATCAAAGCAAAAACATCCCCAAAGAGACTAAAGTATAACCAAGCCAGGAGTCACTGCATACACCATAAAACAAGTTGAACTGTAAACTAGTTAGTTCATAAGATAAGGCATACACACACACACACACATCTCCGTGTGGTCACTATGATATGTCAAAACTATGTAAAAGTCTCAGTAATTGGGATTTTACCTGAGGCTGGCAGTTGCAAGAGAAAGTAGAATCCAGCACAAACACCAGTATGTGCCTGTGTTGAACCTGTGAAGATGTCCTTTTGTATTCAAGACAACGCTCACACTGTCCACACAAACTGGCATGCATGCACACACACACATGCAGATAACACACACACACACAAAGAGAGAGAGAGAGTTTTTTCTCGCGCTTTTTCTAACTTTGGGAGGGTCTTTCGGCTACAAAGGGAGGGAGAGGCAGCGCTCCCACACTGAACTTCATTTGATGCCCTGCCTCAAAAAAAAAAAAAAAAACTGCAATGTCCATGTTTTTCAGAAAGAGTCATGAAAATGTGAGGGGAAAAAACAGCATCTGACAGGTTTAAATAAAGTGTTTCATTGTTGATAAAGGCGTTATAACACATAAACATATGATAAATTCATGCATGAAATGTTTTCTTTTTTGTTGTTTTTGAACATTTGGAGTTTATTCTGTGTCGGTTGTTCATGACAGAATAAAACCAGACCAAACCAGGTTTCATGACAGATTTAATGCTTAATTTAGGCCACTAGATGTCACTCTATCACAAGTCTGTGTTTCTGAAGCCACTACAAAATCTATGAGTAACAACATCCCTCACTTGTAAGTCGCTTTGGATAAAAGAATATTCCAAATGACTCAATGCAATGTAATGTAACATACCAAGTATTTGTCCACAGCATCTATTGGACAATAATATTTCATATATTTTCATCCACTGGCCATGACAGCAGCCCAGATTGTAAAAGTTATAGTAGTTCACATTTGCACAATTTGTCTTAAATTTTTCTCATTATAATAGATTATTACTCATTTGACAAAGCACTTTCACCTTAGGGGCCACTGAGTGGCTGGAGCCTCTGGAGCTTTCAATCATATTACATGATCTTCACCAGCAGCTGGAGTTTGCCCCAGTTGTAATGGAAATGCAGGTGTTCACTATAAGGACTCATGCATGTTGGCTTCAAAGTTGCACCACAGAGTTCACCTTTACCCATAATCCACCATCAACAGGCATATCCCATTCATCACCAGGCTTAATAACACAAATACATACTACAGTATTACATATTACATATACTGAAATAGAGAGGGCATACTTTATTAAGTTATACTTCTCATATACCATACTGAAACAATACTGGACAAGTTGGAAATGAGCTGTCACTCAGAATAGGTATTAAAAGCAAATGTATTGATAGTTAAGTATGCATTTCTTACCAACTCTCACAATAAACTTCTCCCATCTTTCAAGATTTTTGAAGATCACTTTTGTGTTCAATATATCCTTACAAATTAACATTTGAGAAACACTCTGCGTAGATTGATATTCAATGTAAACAGTAACCAAGGTCTTACAGATAGGGAGGTAGTATGATAGTCTAAACTTAGAGAATGTTTTCCAAATCTAGTTGTTGTCAAGGATGAACTAAGTAGGGAAAAGAACAGGAAACATGTAATAAGTGGGTGAGAACATGTGACAATGCAGATTTTGGTGACCAATAGCATCTTCACACATTATTGTTTAGGATTAAGTTTCACCTAATATGGTGTAAGATGCGGTCAAATGTTGCAACCATGTGATACCTGGGATTATATACCCACAGTCAGACATCTTGAGAACTTTCAGCTTTCAATAAAGCCCGAGACATCTGAACCTACATGATGTGGCTTCAGTGGCGGTTCTAGCTTGTATGGTGACCTGGGCAAATACCCCCTTCAGCCCCACGGTCCCACCTATAACAACAGACACACAAACTGTTACTTTTTATTAAACAAATTTGTTTAATAAAATATGATAAAATAAAATCTAATAAATAAGATAGGTGTTGAAGACATTTCTGAAAATATCTGGTGGTGGTGTGCAGACTAGTTCATTATTCTTCATTTCACAGTATATTGAATGAATATGCCCGCTCTCATCCACATGGTGACATGGCATCATTGACATGATGTGCAAATGTAACTTTTCTTTTTTTTCGAGCGCCCCTGACAAAATGACGCCCTGGGTGGCTGTCCATGTCGCCCATATCTAAATCTGCCATTGTGTGGCTTCTAGAAATATCAGAAGGTTTCCATCATTGTTTACTAGTCAGTATTATTATTACAGAAACTGTCGCTTTACTGATACAGGTTATAGAAGTCAATAATCAAGCAAAAAATATTTACAACCTAGAGTGAAACCTTTTAATCTCTCCTTTAAGTACCAGTGTCCTGAACTTGTTCGTGTTCGCTCCATTACCAGTTGTCCTGCTGTATATATCTATTGGCGTTCAAGAGAAACAACAACAAAGATGCATCAGATGCCCGGCTGAAAGGGTTAATACATCATAAAAACTTAAGTAACCTCTGGGTGAACGTGCGGACATCGCTAACTGCCGACCTGTGTGCCTCAACAAGCATCAATCATCGTCTCCTCACTCCTCCCTTTCCTAAAGCAGGACCTTACAACAACTGGTAGCTGTGGTTTTGGCGAACAGCTCCAGACTGGTGAACATCCAGTCTAATTACATGTTTCTTATGCATGGTTTGAATCCAGAGTGAGGTTAAACAAGGAATTCTGTAACCTTATTTTGGGCCTGACCATATAAGGACATCCAGGAAACAATTATGAGCCTCAGGAAGGAAATATATAAGTCTTTATTTAGGCTGTCTACTGTACATGCTCTATTTCCTACAACGTCTATTTCAAATAACATCATGTAACAGTGAGGACACTATCGTTTTTTTAGTTAAGTGTATCATGAGCGTATTAAGCCTCTACATGTACGTGTGACTCAAGTTATGTCACAAGTTTAACCCTCCTATTAGAAAAATGTCAGAAGGTTCATTTTTTTCTTTTTCCAGACAAGTATTTTGAATCTACCCTTGAGCAAGGCACTCATGTGTTCCTTGTAATTTATTATAAAGCAACAATAAAAATATCAAAAAAAATACTATTGGGTGACTAGATAGTAAATAAAAAAGACACAAATTTCACCGGAAACAAGCATGAAACCGTCTGTCCCTCCTTTCCACTCTGAGTGGGTGAGTTTGTTTTTTCAACAGGCCACAAACCCTATGGTTTCGTCTGCTCAGCTATATTTCACTTAGGACTTGAGAGGGGGTGGAGAAAATATAGTGACTGAATGTAACAACTCTGTCTGTGTGTGTGTGTGTTTGCAGTCATCATCGTGCCAGCGTATGCTTGTTTTGAGCTTGCTCTCCGGAAACAAATAAACCTTCGCGTGTCGACAGGGGAGCAGACATCCGGAAGGAAGTGATGCAATCACCTTAATTGAAGTTACTTATATACAGAGGTTCTTGGAGTTTCCTCCAGCATATCCACACATTGTGCTTTTACTGCCTCAACTGCCAGCTTCCATACGTGGCTCAGAATAGAGACGGGGCTCTCCTGTTTGCTGACAACATCTCTCACAGCTCTGAATCTAACGGACAAAAAAAAAAAAGGTAATTGATCATTATTGGCTGATAATAACATAATGGTGTTTACCATGTTATTCAATTTGTCTACTTTTTCTTAACATGTTTACTTGCTCAAGTGCAATATACCTTTGCTTATACAACACATTAGCTGCTCTATCCACAAACATATTTTGTATTTTTGGATTACTTTTTTTGAAAAATGAATGTATATTTAAGTGTGCTTTTATGTTTGCAAACCAGCTTGCCTCAAATCAAATGAAATCAACACTATTAATTATATCTGTTTGTTACAGAATGAAGGTTACCATAATAACACTTTGCCTGGTTGGAGCAGTTTTTTCCAACCCAGTAAGTATGAAACTCTGAAAATAAAACTTTTAAAACAGGATGTTAAATATGAAACTTATGTAATTTTATGTGTGTTTGGCAACATGTCTAAACTTGAATCTAAAATATCTACATTCTTATTATGTATGGGGTAGAGTTCAAATAACACGTAACAGCAAAGTCTCCATGCTTGAAGATTCAGGTGCTGACATATTGTGGATTTTCTTACATTAACTAATAAAGTCATTACTACAAAGACTCCAGTTACAACCAATAAGTGCTAAATATCACCTTTGTCCTGCAGTGTTTCTTTTACTTAGACATTTGTAAGCTGAGCATTGCCTCCCATTAAGTACCTACAAATCTACATAGATCTTGCGCACCTATAAGATCTACCATCTTGGTAATAATTTCAGCACTTTTCTCACCCCTTATCTTCCTTTGTGTTTCCTTTCTGACAGATTTCATATAATGTCATTTTGGAATCAAGTAAGCTTGAAGCAAACACGGTGAGTGCCATCAGAAATGAATTCCTCTCCTCAAACTCTATCTAATTTGATTCCCGGTGGAGCTGTGCAGTGTTAGACCTCCACACAGTTTACACATAAATCATTTGACTGCAGTAAAAAAAAAAAAAAAGTTGCATTCCTGTGACAGAGTCAGTAGAAAAACTAACAATAGGTGCGGTTACTCGAAGTTTCTCCAGACCTCAAGACACTTCCCATTTCAGAGACTATTGTTTACTGCACTGTATATCTGCACCCATGTATGTATGAATGGATCTTAAATGAAGGTGATGATTGTTGATGCTGCAGTTGAAGGGTATAATTAAATGTACTGTGGTGTTTGCTCACTTTGTTTTTCTTTTTCCAGACTGGAAGTTTGTCTCTTTCACAATCATCTGAAAATAACACCTCAGAGCTTCAGGTACTGTATATGTTCATTCCTGTAATGAGTAAATGATTATTTTCTGATGTAGGAGACTGTAAGCACGAGTGCTGAGCTTCAACTAAACGAATGTGTATTCTTCTTTGTGTTTCAGAGCTCTGAAGAAAATGCCTCAAATCAAGTGAGTCATTTTGTTTTGTCTATCTTCTGACAAGACTCCAGGAGAAAAATCTAATTATTCTGATGTAACTGATCCAGTGGTGTACTGTAGATGTGTCTGATGTTATCTATCTTTGTTTCCAGAGTTCAGAGTCAGAATCATTAGAATCCACATCAGAGGACAAGGTGGGTTGTATCAGCACTCTATTTTACTGTATACTCTTAATTGACTTTCATTTCTTAAATTAATCATGTTATTACTGGGTTAATGACCTTAAATCCATCATATTTTCAGAGTGCAACAGTGCAAATTTACAAAATTGAGAATACTTAATAATAATCATAATACTGAAGTGAAAGATAAATGAAAGGAAAGAAAGAAGAAACGTGTCCTTAGTTTAGAGTAGCCCATTAAGTATTCATTACATTAATAAAACAAAAATAAATACCTTATGTATAGATATGTATACTTGTTGCTTTGTCCATTTGACTGTTATAGAAAATTTGCTTTTTTTTCTAAATCAGTATGTGTCTTTTTCCAAAAACAAAATAAACAGACTTCAGAGGAGAGCAACAGCCAGTCAGATGAGGATGATGGGGTAAGAAATTAAATATTTTACCAAACCAAGATTATTTGCCAAATATTAACATATAGTACAGCATATTTCTGGTCTCCATTGCTCATATTATTCACTGTATTTCCACAGACTGACTTTATGGCTGAAACCAGAGATAACAGCATGGGCAGTGAGGAGAATGTTCGAAAGGTGAGAAAACATTTTACAGACTTGCTTGATTTCAAACATCATGTTTCAAAAGTTGAGATCAAAGTTGAGTAACACTATGCTCTGTTTGTTGTCTGCTCAGAGTTGGGTTCAGGTGTTTGCAAGTGTCACCAAAGTCCTGAGCGCAGAGGACAACAGCAGCACAGAGGTCGAAGGTCAAACAGACCACCTCAGCAAAGAGCTGACAGAGAAACAGCCCAATCAAACCTCCACCAGCACCACTTTCAAACAGAAGACCAACACCACTCAAAGCCAAACAAACCTACTGCTGGTGGAGAACAACACCGACAGCAGTGATACCACCAGCGACAGTGCAGACACCAGTGAGATGACTGGTGTCACCAGTGACAGCAGCGAGAGCACCAGCAGTGAGAGCAATGAGACCAGTGACAGCAGTGACAGCAGTGATGCCAGCAAGAGCACAGAGGATAGTAATGCCAGCGACAGTACGGAGCTGCACCAAATCAAAACCAAAGACTGTGTGAACGGAACTCAGAGCTGTGAAAGTGAAGAGTACTTCTTCCAGGCTGTAGGAGATGACGCCAATTACTCTGTAGACAATTTGATGGTGCCAGATGAGGACGAAAGGGAGTTAAGTCTAAGGAGATGATGACATGCATAGCTTTGTGTTCCCCACTATGAACTACAACACCATTAAATGACCTGCCTGAAGACGTCAGGATGACAGATTTGCTCTTGCCCATCGCTTCTGAATGTTGATTATGGCAATATATGTTACTTGCAGCTGATTGATTCATGTATGTGATTATTATTGTGACGATGATGTAGCATAGCATTTACTTTGTTTTGATAATAATAAACAAATAATATAACCATTGTATTGGGAGCTTGCATGTTTTTATATAATTCGGTAGCAGAGAACAACATAAATACATCTACTGAAATACTTCTCTTATTCAATATTAAATTATTATTATTAAATACTTCTACTTAGCTTGAGTATTTCCAATGTACACTTATTTATACTAATTCTCCACTACATTTTAGAGGGAAATCTTGCACATTTACTGTATTAAATAACTTTGCAGAGTAAGATCTTAATACGAATCACAGTCGAATAGTAGCTTCCAGTATGCAGTATAATGTAGTTCAAATTAGCTGTTTGCATCTATAGCGATAATCCAATAATATAGCCTATATACGTATATGACAACATGCATCTGAATGAGACCATTTTACCTTTGATATTTTAAGCACATTTTGCTGAAAATAAGTCTGTACTTTCAAGTAAAACTGAATGTAAGGCTTTACGTTCCTCTGTGGTATTGACTCTTTTACTCTAGTGCGGTCTGACTCCACCACGTGTGCTTAGCTAAAACAATTAAAAGTTAGCTAGTGGGTGTTTTAAAAGCGGACCGCCTAATACCAATATTACATTATAATTGCCTCCAATTAGCAGGTAAGTAGCTAATTATATTAGCTAGGATAGGTTTTTACTATCGAAGCTTGAATGTTGAACGTGTATGTTAGTTTTGCTACAACCGAAAACTGACAAAACAGACAAAACAACGTTTGAGTTCTAGTTATAAACCATAGTTTCATGCGGCTCATCATGGCCGGTTAGCTCAGTTGGTTAGAGCGCGGTGCTAATAACGCCAAGGTCGCGGGTTCGATCCCCGTACGGGCCAAATCGATCTTTTTAAGTGTAACTATGTCTTTTGTCAAAGGTTTGACATACGTCATCCTGTTTATCCAGTCATTCTTCAGGTTTTAATTTGTCAACATCTGTATATTCACATATTTTCTGTTTCCAAGGTCAGGGATTCACTGTCACTTCTGTTCACCCTTTATCTACATACAGCAGGCTATGTATTATATGTAACATATGCTGTATGCATATATGTGAATTTAATATGTCTGTTAACCATAAGAAAAAGGTGTATAATGATGATTCTGAGCTTTATGTATGATACACATGTGATCAACAGATTATGCTGTCATTGTCCTCCATACAGGGAAGTGGATAAGAATCTGGCTTTGTGACTTTATTTGCATAAATCTGTGTATGGTCTAAAAGTTTGGTCTGGCTTGCTTACCTACACACAACTAGGACACGAGGGTTGTGCAATGTTGTGTTCCCACATGTAGTTCACCTCTGACTCTTAACTGAGTGAGGCGTAAAGAAACTATATGGACCACAAAGTAGAATAAAATAACACTAGTGAAGTGAAGTGAAGTAACTAACGTTCATGAATCTGATACCACAGTGAATGATGTAACTGTATTTGCATGATCAACACTCTGCCAACCATATGAATGTTGATCATGGTTTCAACTCTCCACCCACTTTTGACTTAATTTCATAATAAGAGCTCTCTCTCTGTTCTTCAAAATATCCTGCTCCAAAAATAATAAATGAACACTCAAAGAAACCTGGATGAGAATAAACAGCCTTAATTTATCCTGATAACAGCATGTAAACCTGAATTAGTTATGGCCACATTTCAGCAACAGGGTCCTGAATTTGTAGCCCTGCAAGTATAATAGTGTAGCAGTAGATGGCGACAAACTCCACACTTCATACTGCCTTGTTTACTGAAAGTTCTTGAAGGGCCTGCTAGACCAAATTGGTGTTTTCACTTATTCTGGCTGATTGGACCTCTTCTCAGTTTAAAATTAAGCAGAACTATGCTGGGAATTACATAAAGTTGCCCAACCCTAACAAATAAAACCAAATTAACAAGGGAATGAGGAAAATGTTGATCAAGCACTGTCTGTGAACACCCACACAATTCTCAGAGGGCGACTAGTCAGCAACAGTACATGAAGACACCTGTGTGGGTGGACTATGGGTGTGCAGGGGCTACTCTTTCCTCCTTGTAATATTTAAGACAGATTCAAGCACTGTCTAGTATTATCAGTTTTCGACTGAGCAAGTTTCAGTCATCATTTGGTAATAACATCAGAGAAACCACGGCCCCTTGTTCTGGCACCAAGTTATGTTCTGTATTTTTCTTAACACTGATATTATTAACTGTCTGGTAATGCTCCAACTCTTCTACATGTCTTAAAAACTTTTATTTTTAAAGTTAGCAGCAGATCTGACAGAAACACTACATGCTCCTCCAAACCCACTTGTGTGACAAAATAAGAGATGTGAAATCTCCACAGCATCCCACACTCAGTCACCATGTTTAATTTTTCCAGGCTGGCATCATGTTAAGTCCTTAAAAAGGTTTTTCTATGGAGGCAAGATTTCCCTGGACAAATCTCACCTTTATCTCCAGTTTTGGAAGACCTCAGTTCTGTCTCAGATCTATGGCAGACAGACAATACAGACGGTTTAAAAATAATCTACAACTGCAGCAAATTCACAATGTGATAATTCTGACAGCTTCCCTTTCTCTTTAACATGCACTGAAATTGATCGAAAGCAGGAGACTTACCATATTTTCATTTTAAATAAAAAAAGTTGTTTTTTTTTGTTTGTTTTTTTTTACAAAACAGTTAATACATCTTATTTGAACATGTTTGAAAGTTTAGGAAGAACAGGACTCTCAGGACTTGTGCGATGACATCGAGCATGAATGATATCCATCTTTACAGTGGCCTCTTAAACCTACTGATCAAATGATGAGTTGAAAATACAGCAAAAGCTGTGCATGGACACCGTGTTCCGGTCACATAACTACAATACTCAATGAAACATGTTTTACAAAACTGTAAATCCTAATCAACAGGCAAAAATAATGTCTAATGTGCCAAGAGTCCAATGTTGAAGCCGTGAACATCTGAAGAATTGTTTCTGCTTTGAGGTCACACTCTTATCTGGGAAAGTGAGACTTCAAGTGTTCCTTCAGAGCTGGTATAGTGGGAAGTTCTTTGCGACACATGTGACAGCGGAGAGGTAGTTTCAACAACTCACTGGCGCCTTCTTTCACAGTGACCCTTCCATTTGTGTCAAGCATCTCAATGACGTCTGCAGGTAATAAAAAAAAAGTGCAAGTTTTCAGTGATGGACAAAGTGTACTACTCTTCAGGTTAAAACACCAAAAACAAACAGAATTTACTCTCACCATGAGACTCAATGAAATAGTCAGTTGTGAACGAGTTCCAGTGCTTTTTGTTCTTCAGACAAGGAGAGTCAAAGTCCTGGCTGATCACATGGAGATGAACATGACTGTAAAAGAAGATAAACACAAAATGTGTTGATCTTTTTGTGTCTACATCAAATATACCACAGATACCACAGTTTTATTCAAGACCTCATCAATGCTTTGAAAACTTTTTCCATTGATTACAAATGGTGCATATTTTACATTGCTACCATTTTTCAAAGCTTTTTAGAGTAATGTATTGGGATGATTGACTTATGTGTATGGCATTCGTGAAATGTTTTCAAATCACTGTATTTTCTCTACTTTTACCACCAAACAGCAGTAAAGTGTTAAGTTTAGTATCACAACCACTACAGACACAAGGATGAAACTATGTCTTAACAATGGGTGTGTGTGACATGCTTTTGCTGCATAGTCTAATGTAAGGCATGCTTATTTGTACAGCACATTTCACAAAGACAATTTAATGTTATATATAATGCACGAACCAAGCAGGAAATACAGAATAAAACATTACAGCATTTAATTTAGACAATTAAAAAGGTCAGAAACCTCTTAAAGGAGAAGATAAAAATAAAAAAAACAATATTACACAGGTAAAGATAAGTGCAAGGTGGATAATGATAAAATATTTAAGGTTCAGTCAAAGGCAGCAGAGAACATAAAGTGGACCCACAGCAAACTACAGTTGTTTTAGAAAATATCTGGCAACAATGTCAAATATACATTATTTATATGATCTTTCTATGTAAAAGCAACATTCAAGCATTTATGACTAACCTCATACTTGGGATGGCATGGTACCCTGTGCGGAAATGTAATGAACTAGCGTCGGGGCACTGCTCAATCATCTGGTCAGCAACTTGCTGCATGTGTTTCACCAAGTCGCAGTGCTCCTCACGCAAAGCTTTCAGACTGGGAATGGACTGCCACGGGAGGACCAGCCAGTGGTAGCGAGCTTTGGGGTATTTATCTTTAATTACTACGACTTTCTCATCCTTGTATACCTAGAAAAATGGAAACAGTAATATTTAATAGTCAGACATGGTGATAATCAATCATGCAGTCAAAAATCCAGCTATGATCCAATTCAGTAAGCGTCACATCAACTGTAACTTCTTTTATTCCCCCAATAGCTACCTGCATCTTTGGGTCTTGCATTGAAATCTTCAGACCTTGGCTCCAATGTCCAAAAGTTTCCTGCAAGAATTTAGGCAACACATTTTTTTTTTGTATAACATACTCTTACCAGCTCTAAAATAATAAAAATAACATTTTGAATATGTGCACACACGAGTACACACGCACGTCTTTTTTCTTACATTGGTTTTTGTGGCTTCTCCATGGCTGACTGATACTGAGACCTTTTCTGTCTGTTTGGCTGCTTTCATTTTCTGAGCCTCTCTCTGGCTCTCTCTGTCCTCCGAAACAGACTCCCTTGGTCTTTTGGTGCCACCGTGGTTGCCAGTCAGATCCTCCTTGAACTGTACAGTGTATGGATAGAGCTGGTTGACAATATGAAGCTGCTGTCCAGGCTTCATTTTGACTTCATTGCCTGTACCCACAACTGCAGAGTCTATAGAGGTGGGGTTCACACCCAGCTTTGGAATAAAGATGTGGGATGAGACACAGAGTGTTAAATAACTTGTGGAAGACCTTTCACTAATCACTGAAATAAAAACATGAATAAAAAAGAATCAATACCGCAGGCAGATTACACAGAATGCATCCAAAATGTTTAGCAATCGATATTAAAATAGCAGCGAGTACTAAAGGTATCTAATTAAGTTCAACATTAAACTTGATTCATATTATTTCCTTGATTTCACACTGACAAAAATCAATGTTTTTTTATCCATCTTACCTGTTTAACTTTGACATAACCTTTGTTGCATTCTGCTCTCATTTCAACTGGTTGGGGAGGGATAACATTTGCATAGGTTAAAGTTAGTTTTTAATACTTTGGATGTTTTTTTTTTCATTTTTATTATTTTATTTTCAAAATACAGAAATGCATAGACAAATATGAGAACATATTGCATGTTAAAGAAACAAAAAATCAACAGTTTATATGTAATGTTACAATCCCATTATGAAAAAAAAGGAGAGGCTTAGCTTGAAAATAATAATGTATAAGGTATTTGGCTTATGATAAAATTATATGTGCACAGTAAAATTGTTTATCTTCAGTTTTATGTATTCCATGAATAGCACTTTTTAGTGGTATTACTACAATATTAAATAAATTAAATAATTTTTTAAAATCCAAAATAATATATATAAAATATCAGGAAAATGGACCTTGTGAGTGTCACACTACTATATATCAATATTTATAAATTGATGCATTAATATGTAAACAGCATTTTAATGTTGTAGCTGGTGGAGGTGGAGCAGGACTGTGCCTACAGATTATTGTCACACTGATTATTTATTGTATTAAACAATAGAAAATAGTGAAAAATGACTATCACAATTTCACAATTTCATATAGGCCAAGGTGACTTCTTCAACTATCTTGTCGAGCGACATTCCTTAATATTTAACATATTATGTTTTATTATAATGTTTATTTGAATAGTTGTAGATTGAATTTCTGTCAGTTGACAAATCAATGAATTTCACTGCAGCTCTACTAATTTTAACTATTTTGAATACTGCTGACTAGCTTGGTTTGTAACAGGGCATCATGTTTTATAATCCAATAGTATGTCTTGGAAGTTTTAATCTGATAAATAACGAGTGACTAAAGCTGTCAAATAAACGCAGTGGAGTAAGAAGCACAATAATTTCCGCTGGATTGTTGTGGAGTAGAAGCTGCATTAAATGGAAATACTCAAGTAAAGTACAATTACCTCAACTTTGTACTTAGGTCCAGTACTTGTAAATGTACTCATTTACTTTCCACCACTGTCAATGTCAAATTTAAACTTGGTCTTATAAAGCTTAACTGGGTGATTTTTATTTTTTCAGACGTTTACTTTTGATGGAAGGTTTAGAAGTTAAGCTAACTGCTAACACATACAGTGTATCAGTGTATTACCTTGCTGCCGGGAGCACTTTTTGTCTTTAATGGTCGTTTCTGGACCTCGACCCAGGACAACTGTCTGTAAGTGGGGCAGCTGAATAGGTTTATGATTGCCTTCCTCGCTAATAAGCCAGCAAATAGGCATTTTATCATCTTATTTAGCTACTCTTTTGTTTAACAAAACGGTTACAAGCGTCTCACGCTTGTTTTGTTTGGCGACTCTGTGTCGCAGGAAATTGACGTCACATAGAAAAATCTGGAATCGTCGCAGTGAGCTGAAGTCTGCTCTGAACTTGTGAGGATACACAACATTGTCTTCATATAAGGTTGGGAAATAATAATTCAGTCGTACATATTTACATATTCATATGTTTGCTTATACAAGAGTCATGTTTAATTTATTTTTAGCTTAACGTCAGAAAAACAGCCTAGTTAGCATGTTAGCGTTAGCGCGGCTATCAATGCTAACGTTGATAGGGCCTGGTAAATGTGATACCTCGTTATTGTTTTCATCATGAGCATAGTAACAGGTGTTTGCTAATGTATTAACGCCAATTAATACTCGCGTAAATTAGGAATAAACCTGTGGTGGTCATATAGTTCGCGATTGATAGCCCCTGGCTCCTCTTTCGAGAAAGATATTAAAACTAGTAACCAAAACAAGCATGACGTGTGACAGTAGGTTATGATTGAACCTCTGTGCAAGTTGTTCCCTGAAAGTGTCTGGCATTTCATTGTACATTGTATGTCAGGCTCATGGTCCAAACATAGCTACAGCTGTATGCAAAAGTTTTTGGACCCCTGGGCAAAATTGCTACATATTTAGTTCATTTTTGAAGTGAATACAACCCCTGCAGCAAACTGATACTTAAAATTACTTTTGGCCACCCTACTAAATCAGTACCCAGAAACCTCCCATTTGGCAGGTATCACAGCTTTCAGGCACGTTTTGTTGCCAGCTTCTAGTCGTTCTGTTATTGATTTGGGAACTTTTCGCCCATTCTTCCCACAGGTCATGCAAGTACAGCATTCTTAAGCTATACACTCAGATTTCCAATGATGCTTTCAATTTCGATTTCTTGACTGACTGCATGACATTTGCATCTGTGGAATCCATTGTCCTCTTTATCAATGTTTCCCAGTGCCACTGACTGCCACACAACCCCAAAGCAGAATATTACAAATAATTACAGACAACCACGATCCATATTACATAAAATAGTCAATATCAAAGTCAACTAACATTGCTTGTTTTGATTACTTGGTAGGATTAAATAACCCTCAGATATCCTGTACTATACATGCCAGTTTATTTGGTAAACCCAGCTAGTTAAGAAAGGCGTTCATTTAAATGTATGTTAATTTTGGTGGCTGCAGTGTTGTTATCTTGAGTTGTATTGCATTATACTGAGAGTTATATTTTGTCCACTCTTTCAAATCAAGGGGGCTAGACTTTCAAAACTAGCTAAATAAAAATGAACGTTGTAACCTATATGAAAGTAGGATTTATCAAAGGATGTTTTTTGTTTTTTTTTACAATCACAGCATTAGTTTGACGTGGGTTTTGCTAATAAATTGCATGGCGCCATAGATGAGTAATATACAGGGACATACTGTAAGCCCTGAACAGTGAGACTTTGACATTTAGCACAAATGTCCATACAAGCATACCATAAGTATTGTTGATACACACTGAGTTCCCTGTTTATTAATTACATCTGCACAGGCTAATGCAATCTAATACATAGTTTTGCAATAATTTGGAAGTTTGCCGTGATAGCTTTTTGTTCAGAGTCAGAGAGATGTTGATTTAACATACTGGTACTTTCTGGCCATATTTAATAGTTATGTTGTATCGACCTGCATTACATTTAAAAAAATGTGTTGAATATTTTGTCCACCACCATTTACAGACATGCCCAAATCCAGCCTCAAATCTAGTTTTCAATACAAAGGCCTCTCTCACAGTTCAGCCTCATGATGATACGCTCTGTTTTTGCATCAATGAAAGGATTATCTTCCTTTTGATACTATTAACATGATGCAGATTCTTATTCACTGGGCAGCAAATTAAATTCAATTTCATTGAAATTCTTACTCTGTGGTTTTGCTCTTAGTTCAGAGGCCAAATACTTGTAGGCAGGGTCAGTAGAAATTAAATTTGAGTTGAGTATTGAAATACTGATTGTGTTTTTCCTGTCCTACTTTTCCAAGGTTATTCGTTTAAGACAAACATGGTCAAGGAAACAGGCTTCTATGACACATTGGGGGTGAAACCTAATGCTACTCCCGATGAACTGAAAAGGGCCTATCGCAAACTAGCCTTGAAATATCACCCAGACAAAAATCCTACAGAAGGAGAGAAGGTAAGTATCACACCCATAAATATTAACATTATCAGCTGCATACAATTTTTATTGTGTAGAAGTCCCCATAATACTAGTGTGTTTATCCTGAAAATACAGCTCCATTAAAGCCCAAAATCCTAAAATCTAGTTTGAAATCTATCTGGATGTCACATATTAATAAATTATGTAACGTAAGTTAGTGCATCAAATGAAACAGGGTATAATTACTTTTTGTTAAGTCTGTTTTTCTTTGGCAGATTTATCAGACCTCAGCTATTACTTTGCACACGATGTCAAAGAGTTAAACACCTTTTAAGCAGCTGTACATTGCCAAAAATGTCTGCCCTACCAAAGAAGATGTGTTTGTTTCTTTTCTTTCATAGTTCAAGCAGATCTCACAGGCGTATGAGGTGTTGTCTGATGCCAAGAAGAGAGAGGTGTATGACCGTGGAGGTGAAAAGGCTATAAAGGAAGGAGGAACTGGTGGTGGTGGCGGAGGGGGCTTTGCATCGCCCATGGACATCTTTGACCTATTTTTTGGCGGAGGTAGTCGGATGCACAGAGAGCGGAAAGGTACGGGAATATTAGAGAAACGTTTTAAGGTGTCATTGATTTATGTTAATTCAAAAATTCTCTTTGCTGATATGACTTCTGAGCCAGAGCCAGTAGTGTTGAGGAGGGGGGTGCAGCATTGAACACATCATTAATCATTATTAAACAGCCAATTACTTTTTTAATCAGCTGATTAATCATTTAGTGTATAAAACATCAAAATACAGTGAAAAATGCCTCCACAATGCCGTAGAGCACAAGGCGACATCAACAAATATCCAAACATACAAATCATTCAGGTTACTATAATATAAGCTAGAAGAGGAAAGACATCAAATTATCACTATCGAGAACCTGAATGTCGATGTTTGGTATTTTACTTGAAAAATGGCAATTGACAGCTCATCAGAATAATTGCTAATTGATTTTCTTTCAATCGACTAATCGCTGCAGTGGTTCTTTGCAGCATGCTTGACTTAGGCAGTTTTCATTTTCTTCCTGCAGCTGCTCTTAAAAACAACAAAACAAGAATTTCTCATGCTCTTCTCCACATTCGTCCTCCAATTTGTCTTTTGAGCAATCACATTACAGCCTATCAAACAAGCGTGACAAATGTTTGAGAGAATAGGTCTTAACTCTGGCTGTGCATCAGCTGTTGTAGTTGTGACTATGCAGTTTGGCCAAATGGAAACTATTCCTCAAGAAGTAAACACACAGCTTCTTCTCATCCATAGACCAGTGTCATCTTCCCTAACATTTTTATATTAAGTAGACAAGGGAGTGTGTATTTTCAATTCTGATCACATTCCAAGAAACAGCATTGTTTTGTGATTTGTGACTCATAATGTAATTTTTTGTTCCACCTCAGGGAAGAATATTGTTCATCAGATTTCAGTTACACTGGAAGATCTTTATAATGGAGCTACAAGAAAACTTAGTGTCCAGAAGAATACCATCTGTGAGAGATGTGAAGGTACGTCTTTGGCAATGTGACTTACTTACATGCTCTCGTTAGTGTCCATCACTGGACGTGTTTGGTAATCCAAGCAGGCTTTTCAGCACACGCAGACCCAGGCAAGCCATAAAAAGGCTATTTGTCCAATAAGAAAACACATCAGTCTCGTAAATGTAATCCAGCCCTTTCTTGCCAGGTCACTACAGTTTATAGCTTGGAAATAAGCCAAATCTAACACAAAGATAGCCTTTAACTGTTTCCTTTTTTTTTTTTCTTGTTAGGTCGAGGGAGTCGGAAAGGAGCTGCACAGATGTGCATGACTTGCCATGGCACAGGCATGCAGGTCCGCGTGCACCAGCTAGTACCAGGTATGGTTCAGCAAGTGTCCACAGTGTGCCACAGCTGTCAGGGCCAAGGACAGAGAATCAGCCACAAGGACCGCTGCAAACAATGTGCAGGTCGGAAGATCCTGCGACAGAAGAAGATCTTGGAGGTCCACATTGACAAAGGTGAGAGTGTGGAGGGATTCATTCTAAATGTATCTGTGACTGGTTTAAGATCAGATTAAAGCAAGAAAATGTTATACAAACATCACCTGGTCACTTCACTGCCACAGGAATGAGAGATGGCCAGAAAATAGTTTTCCATGGCGAGGGAGATCAGGAGCCAGGACTTGAGCCAGGTGATATCATTATTGTCCTGGACCAGCGAGAACATCCACGTTTCACCAGGTAAAATATTCTCTGTTATCAAGTGTCTTTTGTTACTGATGTTACCTGTACTAACAGATTTAGTGATGGTGTGATTATTGAGTGCAGCTTGTACAGGCTGTACAGAGGTACAGCTGTATATGCATATGCGTACGGCCTGTTTTGAATACAAAAGTGATAGATATTCCAAAGCAGAGGCTCAAGGCAACCTTCGACGTTGCAGCCTGTTTCAAGTTGAATTCATTAAATTTAAACTTGAAGCTTCACAGTTTTGCTACATCTACTTTCATTAGAAGATGACAGGTGACCTCGAAGTAGATAGCAGCTCGCCCAGTAAAATCGCCTCTGCTTCATTGTTTTCCTTAACTTGTTCTTGCTGTTGTCATCAGGAGAGGTGAGGACCTGACCATGTCCATGGAGTTACAGCTGGTTGAGGCTTTGTGTGGTTTCAAGAAACCTGTTCCGACACTGGACGACAGAACGCTCCTCATCACCTCACATCCAGGTAAAACCAAATCATTACATGCATAGCTTCCCCTTAAATTGTCAAGTGTTTTGTTGGTAGTCAGACCTCATGCCTGACAGTGTTCTTTTCACCATCCATAGTTTGGTCTGATATATAATTAACGTCTGCAAGCCGTCTCACATTTTCCAGTATATGGAAGAAAAATACATCCATTTTACCTGGAAAAATATTTGCAGCAGCAGCAGATCCTGCTGAACAGACGCTGGGAAAGAATTGTTTAAAAAAAAAAAAAAATGATTTGCTAGTGATTTTCATAACAGTTGGATGGCTGGTTAATCTAATATAATGTATCTCATTCACTCTACCTCTACCTCTACCGTGTGTGTGCTCTTCTGTGTTGCATTTTTGGAGAGTTGTGTGCACTGGTCATTGCACACTTTACTTCACTGTACTGACACACAACACACTGTGTTGCTCCATTGAAGTTGTTAAAAAAGTGTGAATAACGCCTCTTGTTTTAATGGTGTTTTAAATCAGTCAAACTGATGTGTTGATAAACTTCTGAGTAAGATTTACGCCACAAACTGTTTTGGTGTCTTGTGTGTTATGTTGGTTGATGACATGCAAGAGTTAAAATTATTCACTTGACTTTAACACAACAAAATATTTGGGAGAAAAATATTTATAATAAATACAATTGATGGTGATCAATTTATTACCAGAATGTATTTATTTACAGTCCTTGTAAGACATCTCATCAAAAGAACATTCAACCTTGACTGTAAAACTTCAGATTTAAAATCAATAACCAGGAAAAACAATTTTCCTGTTTTCAGTTTTTCATAATTAAGGTGACACATGTTTTTATTTATTTATTTATCACAGGAGAACTGATCAAGCCTGGAGACACAAAATGTGTCTTGAATGAAGGGATGCCCATGTACCGCAGACCGTTTGAGAAGGGACGCCTTATTATTCACTTCTCAGTAAGATGTTTTTTCAATATCCACTTTTTAAAAAATCCCATTTCTTCTTTTACTTACCTATTATATTTTTATTTTACACATGGTTCCCCTTCTGTAATGGGAAATAACTCTACATCAGCCTCACACACACAAAAAGAAGTTGTACATTAAAATATTGAACTGACAAGCCACGGTGCTGAACTGTTAACACTGATGTTGTGCTTGTTTACATTAGGTTGTGTTCCCACAAGCCAACTTCCTCCCCAACAACAAGCTGAAGGAGCTGGAGCGCTACCTCCCAGAAAAGATGGACGCAGAGCAGCCAGACAGTATGGACGATGACCTCTACATCTATGCCGACCTGGAGGACTGTGACTACGAAAACAGGAAAAGACACCATCGTCAGTATTGCTACAAGGATGACGACGACTACGCCAGCACTGGAGGTGTTCAGTGCCAGACGTCTTAAATAACAGCTGGCATGAAGCCTGAACCCTCATCTATAATGCAAAGCACCTTTTTGAAATTTTGTGCACTTTTTATTTTATTACTTTTCTTAAAATCATAACTATTTACTCGTTGAAGTTTTCTTTCAAGCTGAATCACAAACCTGTGTCCCAACGCCCTCCTGATTTATTGTAATGCTTTTTGGATTGAGTGGAGTATCTTAAAGTTCCAGGACTAAACTTGGATCCAGGTGAATGGGATTCCTCGTCATCTCTGGGACCTTATTTTAATTAATTTAATTTTTTTCCCAGTCACACTGTGATTATAGACGAGGGCTGGTATTACACAGGCTTCAGAGGAAAGAAAAACTTCTTTGTCTAAACAAGGACTGCCTGCTTTTTATGAGGTTAGACTAAAACTGACAGCCAATATTAATCTGAAAATAACCTTTTTTCTATAGTCTTACTAAATCAGTTGTTGTTGTGAACCACTTGTTGATGACTCGTTCAATCAGTTGTGTGAAGACCCAATCTTCAGATGGTGGTGGTGGAGGGGGATATGCATTGATACTTGACAACGACATTTATGCTGTTTAACCCTTTCAAGGGCTATTTTATAAACATTATTAAACAATGTTGACAATGTGACAGGAAGATGTAAAGTTAATGATGATTCAGGCAGGAGAGTACTTAGGTCCAAGCCACTAAATTGTAGATTATTCAAACTAATGTTTAAGTTTAGTTTAACATTTTTACTTTTGAGCTGCCATTTGTTATCTGTTGTGATGCCACAGTTGTTTTTGTGGAAAGTGGAACATCTCATACATATATATGTACAGTGGAGTCCAAAAGTACACAGTGGGAAAGTGGTCTCAGACTTTTGGACCCCACTGTATACTTATCAGCCAAATATGCATGACAGGGTAGGTATTCAAAGACAAAGGGTCAAACATGAGTAAGAAGTCACTTTATTTTGGAAAAACAAAGAAGAGGTCGTGGGAGGTTTTGAAGGAGTAGGTTGTTGGGATAACTTTGCTCAAACTCAGAATGGGTATTTTACAATACTTATAGGTACATACATAGGTATGTTCCAGATTTGATCTGGTTTTGGGTTTCAGCAGACAGGTACACAGATAACACAGATTTGAAAAAAGGCCCCTAATGCCTTGATGGCAAATGTTTTCATCTCTTTTAAAATTGCCAAGTGCCAAGTCGCACCCAAGTTGAAGAAAAAAAAGTGACTAATGACGAGGTTGCTGTTTTAACGGTTGAATGGCGTAAGATTATTTCCAGCACGTGCTTTTAAAATCATTAGAAGATTTAGAGTTCAGTTACTTCTCTGATATTGTCTTAAGACCAAAATCTGGAATTCAAATGACAAATTTTAATGAAAGTAGCAAGTTAAATTTGTTGATGGGTTTTTGCTGGTTTTGGCCCAAAAGTTATTAAGTGTGTCTTTTTTCATGTTTCTAATCCTAATAGCAGATGCCAAATGGGACTTAAAATTGGCACACCTGATACCTCACTGATGTGTCTGCCTGTTTGAAAGCCTTATCATAACTTAACTTGAAGCTACTTGATAATGCAGTTTTGTTTGTTTGTTTGTTTTTGTTCATGGGTGATCTTTGCCTTGGATATTGTAACACATCTATGCTCACAGAAGAGGGGTTCCTTCAATTGTTTGACGGTTGTTCTTGAAAGTAGATGCAAATTTATGAGTAGTCATAATGTCAGGGGTAATTCAACTCGAATATGTGTTGTCCAGGTCTTGATTTGACTGTTTGTGTGTTAGGACCAATGATTACTTGTTTGTGCTCATGTTTTCTAATTAAATTCAGTTTGGTGGTCTTTCTAAATTGTGCTGTTTCTATGTGTTAAAGATTTATTCCTGTCACCAGGAGTTCTGCTGATACTTAAAGCACATGAATAAAGTTACACCTCAAAATAACAGAGGCTCGTTTTGCAGTTTCAAGCTTTTAGTTTTAACCTGCTTCTGATGATGATTTTAGAGTGAAAAAAAGACCTAAAAGCTTGAAACTGCAACGATGCCTACATCCTTTTGTGGAGTAACTCTCCTTTTATTTTCAATAGTTACTGTTTTAATTTATACCACAAAATAATTGGCTTTATCACACGTTAGGAAGTAATCTTGATACTATTCTTACACACTGGAGTAGAAGCATTATTATAAACGCTTTTCTTCTGCCAACCTTCAGATATACAACAGAACATTTCACAATCTGAGGTTGCAATGATTAGTTGATTTATCAATTCTTAAAAAAATGACTTGGCATCTGTTTTGTGGTGGTTCACTCTGATGTGAATGTTTATGCCTCTGCATTATGCTCTCTAGGCATTATGTTTTCAGACGGACCGTCTGTCTGTACATACGCAAGTACTTGCGTCCATCTGTCCCATTCTCGTGAACACGATATCTCAGTAATGCCTTGAGGGAATTTCTTCACATTTAGCACAAACATACATTTGGACTCAAGGATGAACTGATTAGATTTAGGATGTCAAAGGTCAAAGGTCACTGTGACCTCACAAAACATGTTTTTGGCCATAACTCAAAAATTAATTTACTAATTATGACACAATTTAACACAAATGTCCAATAGGTTAAAATAAAAAAATGCATACATAAAATAAAAATTCAAATGGTGAGATGTCAACTTCACTGTCAACTTCATCATAATGTTCTGCAAAAACACCTCTGGCCATTATTCAATGCTGTAACTCAGGAAGGGGAGATTGTGACCAAATTTCCTGCCTAGGCTGACTGATGGAGGCATACAACCACGAGGGGGTAATGCTTTATTAACCTGTAACAGTAAACTCAGTCATTTTGGATTTGAGCTGCTGGTTGGACACAACAATCAATTTAAAGGAATCATTTTGGGCTCCGGGATAAAGTGATGCACAAATAGTCTGCAGATTAATTGATGAAACCAATGAGACAGAAAAAGAAAAGAAAGTAAATGTACAAATAGATTTTGAAATCTAAAATGTTATAACATTAATTTAATATACAGACAAGTGCTGTTTTTGTATTATGTGGATTCTATTCCTTTCTTTATTTGGCTGTCTGGAGACTGAACAAATTATTTTGTCATTAAGGGAACAAAACAGATATCTAAGTGTTTAAATGGCACAGTAAAAGTGACAAATTAAGGTTTTTGAATTTTATTGATAATCATTTTTCACATGGCTGGCAGTGTTATATATACAAGATAAAGACTAGAGAAAATAGAGTGCATCGACTAAACATTATTTGGCAACAGTGACAGATCATTTATGGTACAGTGACAGATGACAGAAAGTACAAATAATAAATACTGGGCGAGGCAGTAGCTCTGTTTCTTGCAGGCGTACATGTCCCACTGATGCATCGGAACAGCAATTACAGTGATGCGACCACGTTAAACACATTTATTATATACACACAGGAAACAGCATGTGCCACTGGAGCTCTGTTGAGGTTTACCATTAGTCATCATGCATATTTAAAAGGAGAACTAAAAGTATTGTAGAGCCACATTTAGACAGTGTAACTGAGGTAGCATGCAGGGAACACAGAGGATAAAGCAATTATCATCATCTGAATCATAATCATTGAGTCAAAGTTACAAAAGTATCATTATAAACCGAACGCTGACAAATCATTTACCTGATATTGTTTGTTTATGCCCAAACACAAGGCAGTTTTTATTATAAATATTTTCACGACAGTTCACCATCATGCATTTTCATGTCTAATAAAGACAGAAGAGATGAAAATGGGGATTTAAACTGCACTGGTGAAGTTGGATCCATGAGGAAGAGTGTGTACAGTATGGAGGACCTAGACAGTGATGCAAAAGTTAATAAAGCAAAGAGCTTAATCGATTTATAGATAATTGGCAAACAGATGTATTAAAAATAGATTTATTGAGACCTAAGTAAATGAAGTTTGTAAACAGGTTTAATAATGTGCTTAAAGGATATTTTATATTTTTTCTTGTTGTCAATAAATTGAATAACAAGACCAAAGCAATCAGCTGATCCCACTAACAAGTGTTGTCTGTGTAGCCAAGGCCTGACACAGTTTATCCCTCTGTGCTATGTAGTGCACCTCCAACGCTTTCCAGAAAGCAGTTCCAACACACCAACACTGGCTGACATGTTCCTTCATGACTATGAACATGAGTACAATGGGTTGTTTATTTTTATTCATCCGCAGCTGAAAATAGTCCCCAACAAATTGTATGATCTTGTTGTTGTTTTATTGTCTGGTTTCTGGTTTTACTTTGTGTACTCACCTTCTCTGTCGCGTCACCTCTGCCCTCCTGCCCTCTTGTGTTTCCCGCCTCCTTGATCATCCTCACCTGGTCCCCACCTGCTTACCTGCCCCTGCTGTTCCTGTTTATATGCTGCACCTGCTCCCCTTTGTTCTCTGCCAGATTATCTTGTATCTCCTTGTGTGTGCATCACTTTCCAGCTTTCTCCCTGTGTTTGCGTCATGTATTGCTACCCTGCGTTGCTTCATGGGTTTTGGATTTTTGCCTGCTCCCTGCCTGCTATTGGTCACCCGTGCTGGACTGAGACCTTGAAACGAGTTTCAGTTTATCCCAGAGGTGTTAACACACATGCACTATAAACTCCCGTGTAATTATCATTTGTTACAAACTACGGTGCCCAGCTGTTTTAGGAAATTATTTAGCTTATAAATATAAATATAACTATGTATTTGCAACCTGAAGTACTTGAGTGCCAGAGACCTTCTGTATGGGATTCATTGACAGTAAGAAAATATGAAATATCAACAACCTTATTCTTTAATTTTCTAAAAAGAGATTGAAAAAAAGTTTGTAAATCCAAATGGAAAACTTTAAATTTCCATTTGGATTTACAAACTTGTCTCTTTTTAATGTGCCACCTCTATTCTTTTACCAATTTCCTGCTATGCGCCAATTTTTTTTAAATTATTGGCAAAAAATAGTGTGATTCATTTAACAATATCAAAAAAACTCAAGTTTCAAAGGTTTAAAGTTAATTCTTAAGTGTGGAAACAGCAGCTGAGGAAACAATCTCACCCCAAGTTTAGCCAAATCACATCTGTCTACAGATGGAGTTTGCCCAGTTGACATGAGAAAAAAAACTGAAAATTTTAACATCTACAATTCCATGCTAACTTCACAAATCCATCTGGTGATGAGGATCATGTGATATGATCAAAGGCTCCAAACAGCTACTAAATGGACCTTAAGGTGAGATTGTTTTCTCCATCAGTGAACTGGTTAGTAATTTACTGATGGATTAATATATTCATTTGTAAGCTGTTTCGTTAATCGATCTTTTGTACGATTTAACAGAAATAAATGAATTGCTTTAAAACCGCGTGTATGGCTCTTTAGGTCCTCCATATGACGGTGCAGGTGACAGTTTAAGGTTTCCATAGCCGTAGGAGGCCGTCCTCGCTGTATGTGGCTATCAGATTCTCATGTGGATGGTGAGCGATTCCAATGACGTCTTTCTCGTGGACCTGTGGGCGCAGAGGAACACAGATCACCACGCGTCGCCGTGCTACTTGTTGGCCTCCTGCAGGACTACTACATAGTGGCAATGACAGAGTCAGAATATCAAGTCAGACCAAAAATAACTACATGAAATACACTGGCAGGGTGGAGATGAACTGCCTCCTCTCACAGCCTTTGATAATCAGTGAATATTAGCAGCAGAGCTTACGGTCAGCGTTTTCTCCAGCCTTCCCGTTGTGTAGTTGAAGCAGTACAGCACTAAGTCCTCTCCCACACAATAAATCCACTCCCCATGGGGTGACAGGGTGCAACACACAAAGTCTGTTCCTTCCTTTCTATCTGAGCTGAAGGTCTTCACAGTCTGAGGAGAAAGAGGAGAAGACGTTCAGGTATCGTGCGGGTGCTAGCGCAACTAAAATACTAATAACTACAAAATAAAGGAAAAGACCTAAACGGATGACACTTGTTCAATAACTATCAAAACGCTCTAACGAATAGTTACACATTTCCCAGAAGTTAGATGAGAAGATTGATACCACACTCTGTGCTGTATGTTCAGATATAGTGTATTGATTATTGAGCTTTAGAGGTGCTGGTTGCTTCCTTTGGGCAGTGCAGTTTAGCTGGTGGTAGCATCATCCACAGAAGATTTTGACAGTCAATTATTTTCATAATCAGTTGCTGATTTTTAATAATTTTTCTGACAAAAACACCAAACATTTGTTTTTTCCAGCTTCTCAAAATGGAACATTTGATGCCTTTCTGTACCATATATGATAGTAATGTGATCGGAAGATTGTTCGACAATTAAACTCCACGGTTTTTCTTACAGTATATCTCACAGGTCACACAGAGCTCTCACCTGACCACGCATGCTCATGATGACCACTTTGTTGGAGTGGTTACAAACCACAAAGTGCTCTGGGTTTTGTGGTAGAGGGATCACATTGTTGACAGGGATCTCTGATGTCCGGGACAGTGATTTGAACGTGTGGATGCATTCGCAAGTCTTTGTGTTCCAAATCTAGGAAATACACAGGGAATAATCCCCATTTCAGTATAATACAGCACTTTCCCAGCTACACGATAAGACTGATGCAGCACAGACCTGAATTATAGTCACTGTATTTGGCTCCATATTGTAACTGCTCACTGTACCTTGACAGTGCCATCAGATGAGGCACTGATGATGTGAAATCCATCTTGAGTGAAAGATGCATCATTTACAAACGATGAATGGCCATTTAACTCCTTTAGTGTCTTGCCTGACCTCAGTTCGTGGATTCTGAAAGTGACAGTGTTGCATAAGTGACTGACATAAAAGCTGTTAAAAATACTCAAATCAAATAAAACGGCAGCTCTGACTCATGAACACATCCAGCTCTTCTCAACTCAAGAGGGGATTTTTCTTGAGAGCAGACAAAACGTGTTGCTGAGCTGCCGATGTTATTTTTAGCTCCTGTGGAGTGACTGGGTGCAGATTAGCTAAACCATGACAAAATGCCTAATGCTCACTGATTCACTCCGTCTCTGGGAGGATGGTTTAGCGTATGTAAACAATTCAGACTCCCAGCCAGTGGAATTGCAAGCGGAGGCAAATGTTGCAGCTTTGTGCCTGAGCACATGGTATCTCAGCTACACCCACACAGCACATGTGCTTTCAACACAGCACAGAGGCTCAGCCCAGCCCACAGCCCACAGCCCGCAGGGGTCAGAAATAGATATTCTACTCCTCAGCTATGAAGGAGATTCAATGTGTGCGTCTGTGATAGAGAAAGAGGAAGTCAAAGACAAACACACTTGCCCTTTCTACGCACTGCGTTTTTACATTCAGGTGCACGATGCATGTGACACCAGGCATGGGCTGCCGATGTGTGATGTCTCCATGGAAATATGTTTTTCAGATGTTTAAAAAGCAATTCAGTTCAATTCCAATTAACCAGTGTTTAATTGGACAATAAAGAAATAGAGCAAACTGATCTCTGGAATTTTTAAATCAATTTGACAGTACAGCGTTAAACCTCTAATTGGTCACACGCAGTAAAAATTAGTTTTTTGTTCATTTCTAATAACAACAAAAAACTTCTCTTCTTAACTAACTTTTTTTTTTATTGTAAGCCAGTTCTGGGTCAATTCATAGCCAATGTACCACCCCGAAATGTACCTAATTAATCACTTGATTTTCATTGAAAATATCTGATAATGACCCCAAAATTATACTGATATGAAAAATTAAGCAAATATACAATGGAATTACAGTTGAGGTGTATCACAGAGACAACCGTTTAACCTATAACTATATTCCCTGGTAATATGCTTACACTATAGTTTTGAATGAGTGAATTGAGTTAAGAACAACCAATTTTTGAACAAGATATCACAACTGTGAATGTGCCTATAGCACAGGTTTGAAACGTTATCGGATTAAATAGAGAAATTAACTGCCAATTGTTTTCCCGTGTACTTCTCTATTTGCCAGTTCTGTTATCATGTCTGTGGCTCTGTTGTAGCAACATCTTGCTAATTCACTGTGAGATGCAGAAAGAGCTCGCTGCCTTCTTTCAGCTAAACTGACGCCCATGTGACCGCCTTTGAAACTTTTGAGTCTTGTCTGAGGTCAGTGAGAGCTCTCGCTTCCTCCCACAGCAGACAAGATATGTTCTGCCACAACAAGGTTTTAAGAAATTGAAAAAGACTCCATGTTTTTTGTTTTCTCTGTACATCATTTGTGAATTCAGCTATTTACTTCACTTTAAAAAACTAATATTGAATTTACTGTATTAGGATTAGCATTTCAATTCACTGGTTTAGCACATTCATTTTTTACCATATAAAGATCTTTTTAATATGGAACATTTATCTATATGTTGAGTTATTCACTAATATAGACTTTGATTAATCTCTCTGTTTACTGTTCAATTATATATTATGTAATTTTGTGAGGCATCCCCACATAGCAAATATGTATTTACAGTTGCTCTAAAGGTGAAGTTTAGCTTAGACAAGTGATGTTACTCTTGTTTATCAGTCAGTGTGTCTGCTGTGCAAAATTGAAACAAAACAAATAGGCATGCATATACTTTGGTCCCATCTGGGTAACAACAGCTGTAGTTTGCGGTGTGTTTAAGCTTATGAAGCTGTTACGCATCCCACCTGATGGTCTGGTCAAAGGACGCACTGAGGATCTGGTTGTTGTCCTTGGAGAAGCTCAGACAGGTCACACCTTTGCTGTGAGCGTGCTCAAACCTGCGCAGGCACAAGCCACTCTGGATCTTCCACACCTACCCGCAATCCCCCCAACGACACACAACATACACATTTTAGGGAGAGAAAAATGGGTTAAGTGACCCATTAAGTAATGGTGATTATAAACTCGATGACAGTACCACATTTTTTAATATTTTGACATTCTTGTGGCACCATTTCCATTTCCATAGAGGAAGAACTGCACTCCTGCATCAAAGAACGACTCTAATTGGTTGCTAATAACAAATATATAACAAATAATTACCCAGCAGTATTATAAGATAAGCAGATGGTCCAACCTTTATTTTGCCATTCTGAGCTCCAGTTGCTAGTAGATCAGTGTCCTGACTGAAGCACATACACAGCACAGCATCATCCATCATCATGAAGCTATCTTGGGCCTGGTACTTTAAATCCTGTTTCATTCATACAAACACACACACACACACACACATATATGCATACACAGAACAGCAAAACAATGAAGTAATAATAATAAAGGATGATCATAATATGAAAACGTACGATATATACTATGCTGTAGTATTTTACTTCATATTCTTCTGTCATTTAACCAGGTAACAGTTAAGATTAAAATCTTTTTTTCAAGACAGCGTTAAAACAATAAATTCAAACAACATAAATAGACTGACAATATTTAGTTAAGATGCATATAAGGAAATTACTTTCCAAACTAACTATTTTTCAACAATTTAAAATAAAATAAAAGCAATAAATTAGAAATATAAAATTTAGGTAATGATACGATATGAAAAATACGTACTTTACTAATTTTTCCAGTGTAGAAGTTCCAGACCTCGATGAACCCATCCACTGATCCGGTGATTAGGTACTTTCCATCAGGGGAGAAACGGGCACACTCTACATGTGACCGTCGCCCAAACTGCCGATTAAAATCACACACGGAACTGACTCATCAATGCTCGGTTACCTTCCACAAAATGTGCTTTTCCTGTTTGGTTTGTAGTCTGCGATCCAGAAGCACAGAGAACTAAAACACCAAATCATAATGAAGTGACCTCCAGGGAGACATAAAGTTCTCCAACAGTCTGCCGTTGTGTGGGCTGAACACTCTCACTTATAACCTTGGGCAGAGGAAAAACAAGGACGAATAACCAAGGGGCAGCTCCATCTGGATGCAAGTGATGAAAGCACAGCCAGAGCCCAAAACAAGCGCCTTCAGGTGTGAAAGTAAATTAGTTTTGGGTGTGTGTGTGTGTGTGTGTGTGTTTTTGTGTGTATATGCCAAATATATTGTGGAAACTACTGACAAATCATCAATAAAACAAGCTCTTCTTGACTGTAAATGCACTATGTACAACCAGAGAGTGTAACTATTGGCCTCAAGTCTCACTATTACAAACATTAAATGTAAAGGGAGAATATGTAAAGCTGTGTTACTCAGAACCTGAGTTGTTTACCTTGATGTGGCGGTACAGCTGGGTTGGGAAGCTCTCTTTCTCCACATGTCTCTCCTTGTTGCCAGATGTGTCGATGGGCATGTCCGGCGAGAGGTGACCTGGGTACTGCTGTAGTCTCATAGACTGTGGAACAGGAGTGGGAAAGTGTCATAAAGCAGTTGCGGTTATTTTACTGCTCATGATCTCAACAAAATCAAGTATATTAAGAAAAGACAACTGAAGAAAATAACAAAAATAATGGTGCTGTGTGGTGCAACAGCACACAACAACAGCTCCTTGGAAATATACATTTATATTTATACGTACACCACGTGGAGTTAAGACAGGTTCTGACTAACAAGACAGTGAAAACATTTCTGTCCCTTGAAATATTTTACTGGCAGCACTTGTGTAACCAACGTGGGCATCACCGGGAGCCTTCCTCTGGGAAACGTGTACCACTCTCCTTTGTTTAGAAACCAAAAATAGCAACAACAAAAAAAAAAAGAAAAAAAAAGTGAGATGCATTTCTTTAGGGAAGTTTTTGGAATCACTATTTCTTATGAGGTTTGACAGTCACGAACTTAGGGTTAAAATATTGCTGTTTCAAAGGGGGTTAAACCCGATGTTAAGAATGGAACTGAGGATATATATATATATGACACCATCACTGAAGATAAAAAGATGATTGAAAAAAAAATATGTTTTCAGTGTCTTTGAGAACCGCGAGACGAGGTGGGTATACAGTATGAACATGACGGCAGTGGGAGAGATGGAGGAATGAGGGAGCTATGGGCATCGATTAAGTTGCTTCACTTGTCATATAATTAGAGTGAGTATTAACAAGAATATTACTCAGTATACTCACGCCGACTTGTTCCAGGAGCCCCATGAGGCGAGAAGGAGGCACCACACTGACTTCCCTCACCAGTGCCTCAGCTATTGCCCTGCGTCGCTTCTCCTTGCTGCTGCCTTTCGGGTATGCCTGCAGCGGGAGGAAGAGGATGTGGCTTTCTAAAGCACGTAATTGTACAGCTGTTTTAAAAGCAAGTACAAAACCTTTAGTGTCTTACCTCACGGGGGTCAAAGTAGGAGCATGTTAGCAGGTTCTCCAGGTGGATGTACCTCTCCGGCTGAGTCTGCTTCAACATGATCATCGGGTCAGTTTGTCTGAGGAGCGAGCGAGCTGCACCCACCTCTCTCATTTCAATGAGCTCCATTACAACCTGTTGGAAGAGATCAGCGTTCATCGCAACATTGCTAATTAAAAGAAGAAGAAAAAATCAAGCCAAGAAAAGCATTACAATCAATGAGAAGCTCACCTGCTCATAAAGGTCAATAAGTGTGTTGTCGGGCAACTTGAGGGACTCGATAGCCAGCAGGACACAGTCCCAGTGGCCGCTTTTTATATCTGCAATGAAACTGTCGATACTTTCCACCGTGTTGAGTGAGACGGTGGTTTCCTCCTGTAAGGTGGTCAGTGTTCGGTAGAGGTTGTTCTCCTTAAGATACTGCATTATCAGGCGGATCACGCTACAGAGACAAAAGGGGTAACTCTTACAAACACAAGTTGACTGATGAGCTCACACAAAGGCTGAATGGAGTAATGTTTCAGATCTTAATAAGGGGCGTTAAACCTGTGGCAGTGCTTTTAAGGGAGGTAAACAGTAGCTGTTTAAGTGCCTGTATTCAACATTTGGTCATGTGCAAGCAATAACAAGCAAGTACTCAGTGGCAGTGATGCTGTACTCGTACAGGATTTCTGAGTATCTTGTTATTTTTGAGGGCAGTGTCAGTGTCAGTCACCTTTATCACATTCTGATTATCCTGAGTGACCAGTGGGACACTTAAACGGTTTGATTTCCAGATGTTGTTCCAGCTGTGGCCATAGATCGTCTGGCACAATCATCACAAGAAAAGCTCACGGCATTAGAGTGAGAATAATAGATAATAAAGACAAATATTAATATAAGTTGTCCAGGTCAAAACAAAGACAACAGCAGGATGCTGCTTTTATCTCACTTCAGAGCCATCTGCTGGACATTTCCCCATCTCTGCTGTATCCCATTATGCGACTCTGTCGGTGTCACTCTGCAGGACTAAGTTTTATGGTCTTTCACGTGCACTTTCATACAAAGACATGACTCACTGACACAGCCCGGTGACTAGATTAACATCACAAACTGATGCTCTGCTCCAGTTTTTTTTATGCTGAATTTACTCCAATTTAAGCTCCAACCATAAGAAACCATCATCAAGATGTAGTTCCATTTGACAACAATGTGTACTCCATCACCACGTTTCCCCCAGAGGAAGACAAGGTAACTAACCGATAAAAACGCACAACCCACATCCTTGTCAGGGGTGGAGAGCCTATTATTAGATCAAAAGGCACATGTGGATGGAGCAGACGTTGTGTATAGTGACTGCAAAACAGCCCGGACCCGCCTCTGTCTCAGCATAATCAGCAAGAACATCAGGTGTCTGCTCAAGCGGCTCAACGCAACCGTCAGAGCAGCTTGACCAGATGTGTATCTATACAGCGTACTGACCACAGTAAACAGTAAATAAACAATGAGAGTGTCAGTCATTGGATGGGAGGTTCCACAACCGAAATAGACGCCACATGGGTTCTCACTCTATACGCAGGCAATAAATAACAGCGTCATAGTAGAAGACAGATTATTTAAATTAAACAATTAAGCACGTGTCACGCCCTGACAAATATTATCACAAATTTATTATAAGAATGAACTTTTTAGACTGACGCAAACATCACAGAAAAATGATAACCTCCCAAAGGAATATCAGTGAAGTCATAAACAAAACATAGGCTACAATCTTCCACCTTAATGCGTAATGTACAGTTGGTTATCAACAACAAACCAACGCACCTTCTAATAGGCTATTTAAGAAAAACTAATGTTTTCTTTTTGCACAGTCACACGTTATCCTATCATTATCACTTTTCTATTATCATCTCCAAACTATCACTGAAAACTTATAATTTACAAATAAAACCGCAGGGGGAAAGTGCACTTACTCCGCGGGCTCCATCTCCACAGCCATGCTGATGTTGTCTCCTGCTGCTGCCGCACCGGACTGACGCTGTGGCGGCTCCGCTCGGGCTCTCCGCTCGCTAGAGCCACGTGAAAGCCGTGTGCTGAGGACCACCCACTACACGTGCTTCCACGGTGTCTCCTGCATTTTTTTTGCGGCGGGCAGCAGTCCCAAACCTTGTGACTGCCGCCGCCACACAAAATCTTGGAGCTACACCTCCTCCCTGACGCATGCCGATATAGAGAAGAAACATTTTCTGGGCACGTTGTGTGCAGGAGACGCGCTCTGCGCTCCGAGATGCTGCAGCGGCAGGCAGCCACGACAACAGCAGCAGCATCAGCACCACGGTCAGACCCTCGTGGCTCAGAGCGTGCTCGCCTTTAGGAACCATTGTAAAGGAGCCAAAACATCCCTCCAAACGTCCTCTAACGGAAAATAACGTCAGTCATACTCATCAATATGCAGATACAGAGCTGGATGCGTCTGTGCCTTAGGAACATCTTTTCCTTGAGTGGTGCCTAATTCTCTAACTATAAACCCCTGTATTCACGGTGATTATCAGCCTTCACCGCCTGTAATTACACATTACTAATGCTGTAGCGGGTCGTGGTCAGGGTTGGACCTGTCCGGGAGTGGTAGTCGGGGCAGCCTGAAGATGACAGAGAGGGTTGTTAAAGAGACGGACAGGGCCAGTAAAAACTTTATGGCTTTTTTTTTTTAACGGTCCATCTGCCCACCGTTGCAGTGACCCAGCGGTATGTCCCAAGGCCAGTCCGACACTGGTTGTGTTTGCCACTTCAGTCAGGCTAGAGTATCCTGCCTCTGCCCATGGGCCCACACCTGCAGATGAACCTGTTGTTAAGAAGGTGCATGAGAGAGATGTTATTGTTCTGCAGCATTAAATCATCAGAACATCAGAAAAACTGCAGAACAGCCTGGTTTCCAAATCACAGCTTTATATACATGAGGCAGGACTGTCCTATGTCTATATTTGACAGACAAGAAGACAAAAATAAGACAATTAGTGAATTATATTAATAACAAAATCTGAAAATATTATTTATGACACAACAGGTCAGGTATGAAGATGGACTGGAACAGCTATAACATGTCTTGCTTTGACTCAGACTGGGGGGGTTGTCAGGTTGTGCCGAGCTCATGGCTCGTGGCTGTTTACCTGTTTATATTCAAAGCCTGTTGGTCCCTGAAACTAGACAGGGTCTTAGCCTCCCTGATGTCATATAGGCTACTTATGTGCTGTCAGGTATTATTGCAGATGTCCACAGCTGCATTAACAGACCAGTGTTAGCTGTAGGATTAATTTGATTCTCGTCTTCCTTTAAACACTGCACCATTTTCCCATATCTCCGAGGCATTGGAATCAGCATTGATTGCGCATAATTTCTGAAAGGTCTGGAGTATATCACGTTTCAGAGCTGTGATGGCCGAGTGGTTAAGGCGTTGGACTCGAAATCCAATGGGGTTTCCCCGCGCAGGTTCAAATCCTGCTCACAGCGGATAAGTCTTCAGCTTTGGTCTTCACGATCACTGCGTGTAAAAGATGCACGTCTCTCTTTGAAAGGTGTGTCGGGGAGAAATAAACGCGGCTGGTCATTATGGAAAAAAAGAACAAATGTTGATGACGCATGATGGATAAGTTATAATTTGGTAGTGTGTTGCTTAATCTACGCAGCTTTTTATTGAGTGGTCAGCTAAACGCGACGTAATGTTGAGCACACACCACACACAGAGTAGGCTACATGTAAGGGAACTGAATATCTGTTGAGCACGCGGATAGACAAAGCTTCTGAACTAACACTGGGAAGTAAAAGTGCTCTAATATCTTACCTAACCTAGAGGACTGCTCACTGTAAGCATTCCTTACACCACTGTTCATGATGGTAACATTAAATACAAATAAAAAAGAAATCATTTTGAGTTGAGTAGCCTGCTTTGTAAGGTGACCTGCCTCAAAAAGAACAGAAAAGCAAACCAAAAGAAATAATAATGAATAATAATTGACATATCGCGAGAACATCCCGGGAACTTCCCGGTGGCGTTTAGGAGAACAGGTGAGGTGCTAATTAATAACCGGACCACGCAATGTCAGCGAACGTTTCCCTGTGAACCAGAGGTAAGTGGTGTATTTCATCGTCTTTTTTTAAGATTATACAGTCTACAAACATCCTAAATTTGAATTTCAATCCTCTAGTCATTAAACCGTTTTCTCTCCTTTGTTCTAGTGTGCGAAACATGCCAATGAACAACAACCAGGTGAGTACAATCAAGGAAGATGAACCGTCCTCGGTCGTTACCTGTGCTCAAACTGCATCGACACTTATTTTAATTAGCACCAGAGACCTTAAAATAGCATCTGCTTGAATGTTGACGTAAAAAGCGTGTTAAATGACAGGTCCTCAAATTTAGGGTGTCAATAAAAATAGTAAATTTTAGGGTTCTCATTTTGCTGGAATTTACAAATAAACTTTGGGGAGTTATTTTTAAAATATAAGTATAATGCGGAACAACTGTGCTCTAGTAGGGATAAGGGAAATTCCCCCCCCCCCCCAGGGAGGTACCTGGTACTGTGTCTGGATTTAAGCTGTTTGCGTGTCTGCTGTTCTCTTGCAGAAGGCACCAAGTGCAGCTGCTAGACTTGTCAAGCTGCCCCTGGTTCGCTCAGCTTGTAGCAAGCTGTCAGTCGTGTACAATGACACTAAATGCAGCCACCCAAACCTGAGGACAATGTGTGAGGTGCTGGAGAACAGTGTAACAGCTTTAGGCACGGCAGCATGTGAGAAAGCTTCACCTGTCATTGTTAAACTGGAGCCCCAGAGTGAGTACTGTGCTGTTTGTGTGGTGTTCAGCTGTGGTGTCATATTATACACTCCCTTTGTGCCTTGAATGCCAGTGTGTTTTGACATGGATGTAAAAAATGAGGGGGAAGGAAACTGCTAGTCAATATATTAAGGCTGAAACTAATTGTTCCCATTAAAGTTTAATCCTTTTTAATAGCTGTTTATAAAATGTCAACTACTTAATAGGCCTGACACATGTTCAGAGCCAAAGGTGATGTCATTTTGTCCAACCATCAGTTTTAAATTCATATAAAAGAGAGCAGAGCAGTAAATCCTCATATTTGAGAAGCTGGAAGCAGTACATTTTTGGCATTTTTTCCTCAGAGAATGACAACTAATCAGTTATTAAAATTGTTGACTGTGTCCCCAAGGACCATTTGAGCTCGATCACAGGGTGAGATTTCCAAATTCTGTGAGCCATAGCAGAAAAACTCAGGAGGACAGAGTGAAGAAGAAATATCTTGATATATTTGATCATTTTTTATTTTTAACTTACTGATTTGAAAACAGTCGATAATAAATAATGTGATCTAGGAACCTATTTCAGTAGGTTACACCCCATTACAAACAAGTGATCATTTACTCCTTGTTAGGTCATGCAGCTAAAAATGAGTTTCACTCCTGAGCAGTATGTAAATGACAATGAATAATTTATAACCAAATTAAAAGTCAATCCTAGTTGGTACTGCATGTTTAGTTTAGACATAAAAGATGCAGAGGATAATTAATAAGCTAACTTTATCGGGTCGGTATATTTGCCAAACACAGAAGAGCTGCCATTTGTTGTCGTCTTGAGAACTTCTCAGTGATGGCTTCACTCTCTGGAATATTTTTATAGTTTCTTCTGCAAATGACGTGGCATGTAAAAGTCTTGACTGGCTGGAGACTACATTCCCCATGCTTCACACACCCACAGAGCAGGTGACTTTTCCTTTCCTCTTTAAAATCCTGATAAGCTCCACAAACTGCACAGTATTTTGGTTCATTTCTGGCTTTTGTCTGCGTCACTCAGGTTGTTGCCACGGCCAAGAACAAGATGCACGAGATCCAGGATGTGGTGAGCATTGCAGTTAACGGAACCATGGACTGTGTGCAGCACACAGTCACATGGGTGATGGAGAGGATGCAGCAGGTTGATGAAGGGACTAACCAGACTCTGGTGGAGAGAGCCATTATTGTGGCTGCTGTGGGACTGGACTCCGCCCTGAGCATGTCAGAGGCTGTGATGGACAGAGTGCTTCCTCCCACTGAACAAGATAAAAGTATGTAGTGTAACGTAGTTACTGCTGTGAACCAGCAAAATGTCACATTCAGAACTTACTCAAGCCTGTACATTCTTCATCTGTATACCCCTGAAAGTATTTTCTTGCTGGCTTTGTAGAAGAAGAAGCAGCAGCTCACTTGGTGAAGGGCTTTGAGGCTGCTGCACCCAGGAGAAGTTACTCTGTGCGACTGGTTTCACTCTCTGCCAAACTATGTCGGAGGACCTACTACAAGGCCGGGGCCAAGATGCACTCTGTTCAGGTGTGCTGTGAGTACAGTTTGTTGGAATAGTTTGACATTCTTGTAAATATGTTTATGGCTTTCTTGCCTAGTGTTTGATGAGAAGATTAATACTCTATTATCTGAGATGGCTAGCTCAGCTCTGGCCCAATGTTGACAGAATCTGCCTATGAGGTTCAACAAACTCTGAATCTAACCCTGAACTCTGAGAACAGCTGATCAGAGGTAGTTCAGTCAACCCTGAGCATGTTCGCTCTAAGTGTGTGGTAAACCAAAAAATAAAAAGCCATCATCAATAGAGCCCCAATACTATGATTCTTCCAACTTCTGCAAATTAACGTGCTCAGATATACGCTTTAAATATTGACTGTATAGGGAAATGAAGAATCAGACATTTTCTTCAGGCTCAGCAGGAGGAGACAGAGACTCAGGGTTTGTTGAAGAAACCCTGCCAGCAAACAGTCTAGATTCACAGAGTAAGTCACCACAGCACCTGAACTACAGTTAAGAGTCATCTGTTTCTGCAGTTTCTTGCAATTCAGAGGTTAACAAACTCGAGTTTTTACTAATCCTGCTTTCTGGAATACAGCCCAGCACATCTTTAGTTTACAATTTATCACGTTCCCACATTTGTTTAATCTGCACCAAAACTGGTGTAAAAACAAGTAG